TACCAACAAAGATGTTGTGTCCGCCGAGAACTAGAAAATAAATGTTGGAAAATTCTCAAAACAAAACAAAACAAAACAAAAATAATAATAATAAAATAAAAGTTAGCTGATTTCTTGTGCAATGAAAATTTAGACAGAGTTTTATCAAATTTGTATCAGGCCTAGGGTTGTAGCTCAGTGGTTAGTATGGGCTGAAGCCTTGGGTTCAATTTCCAACACTGGGAAAAACTTTTTTTTAAAATCAAATCTCAATTGTTCTCTGAATCTTCCAACTGGATTTTTTTTTTTTTTTTTAGTTGTAGATGGACTTAATATCTTTGTTTCATTTATTTATTTTTGTATGTGGTGCTGAAGGATTGAACTCAGTGCCTCACACATGTGAGGCAAGCACTCAACTACGGAGTTACAACCCCAGCCCCAAGTGGATGTCTTTGTCAACAAGTTCAGATTCAAACGTCTTGTCCTAAAACACATTCATTGATTCTCTATTACCTACCCAAATCCTCTCTCTTGTGCCCCACAAACCACACTTTCTACTGTCTTCTCAAATTCTGCCAATGTTATCACTAATCTTTTCCCTATCTCAGGGGTTCTCAACTCTTCCCATGCATCAGAAGCATCCAACAAAGATTTTTTAAAATAATGCCTAGGACCTACCCCAGGAATCTTTTAACATTGGTGTGGGGAGGAGAATAACCATGGAGCTTATGTTTTAATTTCTTCAGGTGAGGGCTGGGGTTGTGGCTCAGTGGTAGAGTGCTCACCTAGCATGCACCAGGCACTGGGTTCAATACTCAGTACCACATAAATGTAAAATAAAGATATTGTGTCCATATAAAGCTAAAAAATAAATATTAAAAAAAAATTCTTCAGGTGATTTTGATGTAAGCCAGGCTAAAAACACAGTTCAGATGATTTTGATATCTACACCAAGCATTTCTCTAGCCCATCCTCAATCCCATTTCCATCATCTTGCCTCACTGGTTTGTCATTGATTCTAATTTACCTTTCCAGCTTTATGGGTCACTATTCCCTTTTATACACTTTAAACTGGACTCCCAGGTACTTCCCCCAAACCTCATTCTTTTTTCCTCCTTCCCTTCATTTGTTATGTTCCCCTTTTCTCATTTTCAAATCAAGAGCAACTGCCACCTATTCATGAAGTCTTCTCCAAATCCTTCCATCAGAAGTAATATTTTCTTTCAAACTTCCCAGCATTTGGCTAAAGACTGATGAATAGAGATCATTTAGAAAGGCATTCATCTTGGCCTGAGGATGTGGCTCAGTAGTAGAGCACTTGCCTAACGTATATGAAGGACTTGAGTTCAACTGCAAGTACCAGAAAAAAAAATACAAGTATGCATCTCATCCACTTTCAGTTTAGATAATTGGTGATTGTCAGTCTCTTGAGGCAAAGAAGGGGCTGCCTCACGCTGAAGGGGATAGGTTGTCAGAAAGCCTTCTTTAAGCAGTACAATTTTGAGTAAGCTTTAATTTCCTGCCATTTCCATGCTAGCCAGGCTCTGCACTGTCTTATATTGTTTCCGCCACCTGGAACAAACCTAATAGCTACAGGATCAAAGTAAAAAAAAATCACATTCAAAATGGTTCCCTGGAACGCACAAGATGTATGGAACTGTTCTTTTCCACATTTCAAAGAGAAAGGTATCTTCATTCCCAGAGTAACAAATGGCGTTCTTTTTCACATCCGCTTACAATACCTTTATTTTATTTATTCATTTTATGTGGTGCTGAGGATTGAACCCAGTGCCTCACACATGCCAGGCAAGTGCGCTACCACCGAGCAACAGCCCCAGTCCCTCACATCCACTTTTTTAAAAAAATATTTATTTTTTAGTTGTAGGTGGTCACAAATCTTTATTTCATTTTTATGTGGTGGTGAGGTTTGAACCCAGTGCCTCACATGTGCTAGGCAAGCATTCTACTACCGAGCCACAAACCCAGTCCTCACATCCACTTTTTAATATCCTCATTCATTCTCCTTTTGGTAATAAATTGATATTCCTTTTTTTTTTGGGGGGGGGATGACGGGAGGGTACTGGGGATTTAACCCAGGGGCACTTGACCACTAAGCCACATTCCTAGATCCCTAGCCCTATTTTGTATTTTATTAGAGACAGGGTCTCACTGAGTTGCTTAGTGCCTTGCTAAATCGCTGAGGCTGGCTTTGAACTTGCGATCCTCCTACCTCTGCCTCCTAAGCTGCTGGGATTACAAGCGTGTGCCACCTTGCCAGCATAAACTGATAATTCTTTATACCCCTTTTAATCCTTGCTCCAAAGCAAGTGAAATACTAGCAGGTATCCTATGGTTGTTCTATAGGATTACTAGGCATGAAGTAAAATTAGAAGGAAAGAATATTTTCAAGTTTACACTAGGGTTAATTACAAAGAAAGTGACAAGCTGTATTGCAACTTTAGTAAGGAACAAATCAAAATTGGCTGAACTAGGAATGTAGGTCAGTGGTAGAGTATCTGCCTAGCATACACTAGACTCTTAAGTTTGGTTCCCAGTACTGCAAAATAAAACAAAAACAAAAAACAAAACAAGCTGAAGGATAAATGACATCAAACACAAGGTTGAACTTCCTGGCAAGGTTCTTATATACTGGAAAGGGTAAGGGATTTCTTTTCAGTGACAACATAACAGGACCTCAATTGACTAGAGGGAGATTACAAGATTCAGCAAAGAAAGAAAGAAGAAATAGGCCTGAAAGGTTCCTTCCAAGCCAAAGACTCTAAAGGAAAAAGGGAAGAAAATGGCTAACCTTTGGGTGGCTTTGCTATCCAATACTGTAGCTGCTAACCAAATGTGGACACTGAGCACTTGAAATGGTACTACTGTCACATATTGAAATATATTTTATGTATTTTTGTTTTTTGCCTTTTTTTTGGTGCCAGGGATTGAACTCAGGGGCAGTCGACCACTAAGCCACATTCCCCAAACCAATTTTGTATTTTATTTAGAGACAGAGTCTCACCTCACTTTTGCTGAGGTTGGCTTTGAACTTGCAATCCTCCTGCCCTTAGTGTCCTGAGCCACTGGGATTACAGGCCTGTATCACCAAGCTTGGCTTATTTTAAGTATTTTGGATCAAATGAATTGTTAAAACTGATTTCACTTTTTTCTTTTTTTTACTTTTTAAATATATCCATGAGAAAAATCTAAATTATATTTTGTTAGATAATGTCGACTAGAGTTTTTTTTTTAACTATAGATGGAGACAATAACTTTATTTTATGTATTTATTTTTTATGTGGTGCTGAGGATTGTACCCAGCTCCTCACACATGCTAGGCTCAGCACCACATAAAAATAAAATAGATATTGTGTTCACCTAAAACTAAAAAATATTTAAAAAAAAATTAAAGACAGAAGGAAAAATATGTGCCAGATATTGTACCAGTTGCTTTACACTTATTACCTCATTTAACCAATGTGACAGATGAAGAAATAGGCAGAGAAAATAAGCATCCTGCCTACAGTCAATGACACAGCAGGTCTAATTGCAGGCCATTTCCAACACTATATTGCCTGCCTTGGACAAAAAGAAAGAAGGGCTAAGAACCTAATCATCACATTTTCAGCACTGCCTCAAAGTCCTTTCATTTATCTACCCATTTAATTCCCCTCTCCCTAGTGTCAGCTCAAGGATCACGTGATAGCAACTCAACTCACCAGGGCCTCTCTTATCCCAGCCACAGATCATGGTGCCCATGGACAGCCCCATGCCTTTGTACTGATACACCATGTTGGCAAGCAGCTTGGAAGCAGCGGCTACGGAGATGCGTTCCTTATTTCGAAGCTCATAGATTCGACACTGCCGAGCCAACAGACGTTCCCAGAAGCTGCAATCCGCTGCACCCCCAGCCATGGTTCCCAAAAGGTAGGGGTTGATCTCTATCACCTTCTTCACCGTCTGGGAGGCAATGTAGGCACCCGCTGTAGCCCGGGAGTCAGCGGCAACAATGACTCCATGTTGAAACTGTTAAGATAGTGGAAAGCATAAAACAGGCCACATCAGACCACACACACAAAAATCTCCCTGGTATTTCTTTTTGCACCAATGCAAATCCAGCACATCTCTCTCTCTGTTCTTTTATACTTTACAATACACTTCACAGAAATCCCTTGACATGGGTAAACCAATATCACACTCATAGATGAGGAAACGGGTTCATTGAGATAGAATGATCTGCCCCAAATCTAGAGATAGTTATCTTAGAGCTGGAGCAGGGACTTCAATTGTTTGGATCCTGGTACAGTACTCCCTCGACTTCACAGTTTCTCCCTAATGCCACAAAGATTAGGTTACCCTCGCCTAGCCTTCCTCTGCCACGGTTCAGTGTCGGTGGCCTCCCCTTGCCCAGCTGGGAGCTCCTACAATAGGAGCAACCTGAGGTCGCCTAGGAACCAACGCAATCTGCTCGACCCCAGCGTCCCCTTCTCCGGCCAGAGTCAGGAGCGAGGTTTCCCCGGACAACGAAACAGCTAAACTTCTGGGGTAGGGACGACAGAAGCCCGAGCCTTCGCTTGGGCTTGGTGGCCGGCTCTTGTCCGGCAGGGAGGCTCGGAAGGGCGCGGGCGCTGGGGGCTCAGCCCAGCAGGGCGGCTCGATCCGCACCTTGAAGGCCAGAGTGGTGGTTCCATGAAGCATTTCAATTCGCGGCTCTTCTGGGACACCCCAGCTGGGCGCAGCTAGGCTCAGCCCATCACTGGAACTCCCTGGTCCTAGGTCCAGAAGATCTGCACGACCCCCAAGTCCGAAAAACCCGCGCCGATTCACCGGTAGCGGCCTCTCCAACACGCTGGCCAGCGCCATGTCTAATGAGGGCAAAAAAGAGAAAAAAAAAAGAGGGAAGACAAACTTAACTGAGAACGCCTACCAAAGAACGGTCGTCACAGCTTCGCTTCCAATTAAATCTATTCTCAGAGAAGAGCCATTTTGACTCCTGGCAGCCCCGCCTCCAAAAACTAGAGCCAGACGTAAGGGATGATTTTTCACCGAGAGGCGGGAGATGGCTTCACAATCTTTGTACTCTAACAGGATGGGGCTGCCATCTTGACTTTGGTCATGAAAGCATTTCTGGATCGGATCAACTTCAACTTCCTGGGAAGTGGCTGAAAACGTCCTTGTTACGTGAGGGAAGCAAGGACGGCCATCTTTAAGAAGGGCGTGACTGGTTGAAAATAGCTCTGGTCTCTCAGCAGTAAGTCATTCCCATCCAGCCCTGAGTCAGGACTGCACGTCACAGTCCTATTTCTTCAGCACCCTGTTAATGAGACTGAGATTGCCATTTTGTTTCAGGGCACCCCCTAATACTGGGTAAAATACTGAGGGCATTTCCCTGTTGTATTAGTTAAACCACAATACATTGTGGTAAAAAGCACAACAGAATAAAAGTGCTATGCCTCTTGTTCTTTGATAGCTTTACTCGCTACATCACAACTGTTATTTAACAATAACCAATTTTTAGATTCAATATTCTCTTTACTTATACCTGGGCATGGAGATTTTAAGTAATGGATTGCCTAAAAGACAGATATAAAAATAAGGAAAAGCAAAAAGGGCTCGGTGAATCCACAAACTAGATTATCATTTTAGCACCTGAATAATTGAGTCAATAGTAATTTACTATCTCAGCTCCTGGAGGAGAGTTGAGACTCCATAAAGATGTACCAAGAGATTCTCTCAGTCAACTTACCAAGAGGAGGCTCTTTTTCAGGAATGCATTTCATCCTGTTTCCTCCCTTTACTCACCTTGATTTTTCAACTCTTGGGAACTATAATAAGTCAGGAAGTGGGCTTATGTATGAAAAGTTTCCTTCTGCTTTATGGTTCCATGAAATCAGTGTCTGGGCTTCCTTTTGGATTCTAGCAGCAACATCTTATCAACATCTAAATTTTACTTTCCTCTGATGCCCAACTCAGCTCCTCCTTTCCTGAACAGACTCTGTATGTGCTGTATTATTAATGCTGAAATTGGACAACCCTTTCAGCGCTCAACCATCAGAATATAATTAAGCAGGAGATCTTTATCTGTCTCACACATGGATGGTGTGGAAAACGCAGAGTATTTCTGTTTGTTGAGCACTTATTATTGTGCAATCACCTCTGCAATACAACTAGTCCTCCTTCTGATTTCTTTCACTCTCCACTAATACCATCTGTACCTCTCTTGAGACACTTTTGCATTTTACCTGGCTAGAAGTGTGCATTCAGTCACACACAGTGGCACATGCCTGTGATTCCAGCTGCTCAGGAGGCTGAGGCAGGAGGATCACAATTTCAAAGCCATCCTGGGCAAGTTAGTAAGACCCTGTCTCAAGATAAAAACTTATGAAAAGACTGAAGATGTAGCTCAATGATAGAGCACCCCTGTGTTCAATTCCTAGCACTGCAAAAGAAGTGTGCATTTATCTCCTATGGATTGTGAGGTTTTTTTTTTTTTTTTTTTTTTTTTTTATTTTATTTTTTAGTTCTCGGCGGACACAACATCTTTGTTGGTATGTGGTGCTAAGGATCGAACCCGGGCCGCACGCATGCCAGGCGAGCATGCTACCGCTTGAGCCACATCTCCAGCCCCGGATTGTGAGGTTTTTAAAGACTGGAATTTGTTCATTATTGATCTCTGTGCCCACTGTGTGCTCAATATACCTTTGCCAATTGAACACTTGAAAAGAATGACAATAATGTTTTTCCAGTCACAGGCTTGAAGCCCTGGCTTATCTTCAACMACTCCCATTCCTTTCCTTCACATCCAGTGAATTGTCAGGTCCTTTTGATCCTCCCTCTGCAATGTTTCTCACATTCTTTTTCATTACACCTGATATTGGAGGCTGAGGATATAGTTCGGTTGGTAGAGTGCTTGCCTCCCATGTACAATGCCCTGGGTTCAATCCCCAGTATCTCTCTCTCACACACAAAAAAAATCTGACATCATGTTGGCTTCTTCTTTTTTTTTTTTTTTAGAGAGAGAGAATTTTTAATTTTTTTTTTTTTTGGCGGACACAACATCCTTGTATGTGGTGCTGAGGATCGAACCCAGGTCACACACATGCCAGGCGGGCGCGCTACCGCTTGAGCCACATCCCCAGCCCTCACCTTGGCTTCTTATTTCCTCACACTTGAATTACTGAAAAGTTCTTCTGACTGATTTTCTGKGCCTAAACTCTCACTCTTTAATTCAATAGGCAACACATCACCTTGATCTTATTACTTACCTGCTTAGAAACGTCCTCCAGACCCAGGAGGTTGAGGCAGGAGGATTACAAGTAAAAGGCCAGCCTTAGTAATTTAGTGAGGCCCTAAGAAAATTAGTGAGACTCTGTCTCAAATAAAAAATAAAAAGGCTGGGGATGTAGCTCAGTAGTAAATTACCTCTAGGTTAAATGCCCAGTACCAAATAAATAAATAAATCCGATAGTCATATATTATAGCACATGCCTGTAATCCCAGCTATTTGGGACATTGAGGAAAGAAAATAGAAATTCAAGGCCAGTCTAGGTAAATTAAAGAGACCCTGTCTCAAAATGAAATGTTAAAAAAAAACATTGAGGACTGGGGTTGTGGCTCAGTGGTAGAGGGCTTGCCTAGCATGCGTGAGACACTGGGTTCGATCCTCAGCAGCATATAAAAATAAAATAAAGGTATTCTGTCCACCTACAACTAAAACTAAATAAAAATAAATGTTAAAAAAAAAAAAACACTTTGGGAATGTAGCTCAGTGATAGAACCCTTGCTTAGTGTGCTTGAAGCCGTACGTTCAATCTCCAGTACTGGGGGGAGAAAAAAAAAAAAGGTCCTATAAAGTTCATACCTTCAACATGGTAATGAAAGTCTCTGTAATCTGTTTCTGACCTACCTTAGATTACTTCTTTTCTCCAAGGTCACTACTTATGGAGGGACTCTACAAAGGAGAAGTACAAATGATAGGTGCTATAGTTCAGAGATAGGGAAGGAGGTCAGTATCCATTGGGGTGAGGTTGGGGGTCCAGGATGGCTTTGTAAAGGAGGTCTGGTTCCCACTGCTTCTCAAACAAACCCACAGACTCTCCTTTTGGCCCATATCAGATAATGTTTCTATCTAGGGAGGTGGCTGTCTATCTTTAAAAAAGTCCAAGACTCAGTCTTTTTATTTTTTTATTTTCTAGTTATAGGTGGGCACAATATCTTTATTTTCTTATTTTATTTTTATGTGATGCTGAGAATCTAACCCTGTGCCTCTCACATGCTAGGTGAGTGCTCTACCACTGAGCCACGATCTCAGCCCAGGAATGCCATTTTTAAAAAATTATTTATGTATTTATTTATTTGGTACCAGGGATTGACCCCAGGGGTGTTAACCACGGAGCCACATCACTATCACTTTTTATTTTTTATTTTGAGACAGGGTCTTGCTAAGTTGCTTAGGGCCTTGCTTAGTTGCTGAGGCTGGCTTTGAACCTGTGACCCTCCTGACTCAGCCTCCAGAGTCACTGGGGTTACAGGCATACTCCACCACACCTGGCAAAGAATGCCATTCTTGTGTATAGATAGAATGATATCTTCAACCCCAAAATGGAGGAGAATGAGACCTCCAGGTTCTAGTTTCCCTTCACCCTCATTCCTGTGTAACCTGCCTTTCTGGAAAGTATTTGAGCTGTTTTCTCTTCTGCCTGCCTCAGCTCATTTATTTTTCTCCCATCTTGCCCATTAGTTGAAAGTATGAGCTAAGCTTTCGGGAGCTGAGAGTTCCCTGGTCTCATATCTCTGAAGAGAGTTCCCAACATCAAGGTCTCCTGCCTCAGTGGCTCCACAACATTTTATTCTGAGTCTCTCAGAGTACTGAGTTGTCTTGACTCCTCCTAGGCTGGGAATGCTCTCAGGCTAGTGACAGGCCTTTATTTGTCTTTGCATGCCCAATGTCCTACACAGGACCCAGCTCGGCTCTTTCCTCTTGTGTCTACTTTCCTTTGCAGTCACCCCAGCTCCTCTCCTCTAGGTAATTATAGGATGACAGACAGGAGACTCTGTGGGTGACTCTCAGATGCATCATGGGCAGCAGAAAGTGAAGGTCTGACTGATGGGCAGCACCCTCCCACTGCTGGAAACTCCACAGCCTCATACTATCTCCCCTCTGAGGAAGAGGAGGCTGTTCCACCAGCCAATCCCAAAGCCTGATTTGGGGTTGGGGAGAAATGAAGCGTCAGCTCACATGCTTTGCTCACCAATTCTGGCTGCAGCCCAGCTTCCCTGTAGCGTCCCTTTTTCCTTACTTGACCCCAGAACCCAAATTGCTGTCCGCTCTTTCCAACCTTCACTCAGCTTCGAGGATGGCTCTACAGGATGTGTGTAAGTGGCAGTCCCCTGAAACCCAGGGACCATCCACTCACCTGCCTCAGGCTGGTGACTGGGCTGTACCTCGTGGCTGTGACCTGAAAACCTTCCTGCAGATGCATGGCCCCAGGCTAGCCCATGGCACCACCACCCTGGCCTTCCGCTTCCGACATGGAGTCATCGCTGCAGCCGACACACGTTCCTCCTGTGGCAGCTATGTGGCCTGTCCATCCTCTCTCAAGGTCATCCCTGTGCACCAGCACCTCCTGGGTACCACCTCTGGTACCTCCGCTGACTGCGCCACATGGTACCGAGTGCTACAGCGGGAGCTGCGGCTTCGGGAGCTGAGGGAGGGTCAGCTGCCCAGTGTGGCTAGTGCAGCCAAGCTCTTGTCAGTCATGATGTCCCGCTACCGGGGGCTGGATCTGTGTGTGGCCACTGCCCTGTGTGGTTGGGACCGCTCTGGTCCTGCCCTCTTCTATGTCTACAGCGATGGTACCCGCCTGCAGGGGGACATATTCTCTGTGGGCTCCGGATCTCCCTATGCCTATGGTGTGCTAGACCGCAGCTACCATTATGACATGACCATCCAGGAAGCCTATGCCCTGGCCCGCTGCGCTGTGGCCCACGCCACCCACCGTGATGCCTACTCAGGAGGCTCAGTTGACCTTTTCCACGTGCGGGAAAGTGGATGGGAATACGTGTCACGCAATGATGCCTGTGTGCTGTACATGGAGCTGCAGAAGCTTCCAGAGCCAGAGCCAGAAGGGAATACCAACCAGGCCGACAGAGCTGGGGAATGTGGAAAAATCTCTTCAGGGCCAGGGGAGCTGTCACCAGAAGACTCCAGGATGCCAGCCAAAACTGAGACACTGTGAAAAGTAGCAGAACTTGGGGAACCCATGCTCAGGGTGGGTGGTAGGGGAGGCAGCAGCGGGGAGCTCTGCTGGGAGCAGCCTCTCCGCACTGGCTCCAACCCTTTTAGGTTGCCTGCTTCATTTGTTCCAAGTCTCCACCCTTTCTTCCTCCTGGAGTTATTAAAGGTGTCTAACATGTTCCTATTGACACCCAGTGGGCTGGTCCTGCTTCTTTCTTGGCTCCAAGCTAACTCTTGGCAAACTCTTCCTGCCTGCCTACTGCACACCAGCTGCCGTGCTAGGTGCTAGACCTTATTCTTTTCTTGCCATCCTTTTCTCTGTTTCCCCAGCCCATTCCCGGTCTCTATTCTCTCCTGCTTTGTCCTCTATCTCAGTTCTAGAGTGTTTGTCTCTTTCTCTTGGTCACTTTTTCACCCTAGTGAGGTAGGACAGCCAGCAGGAGAGCAGCTCCTGGGGCTGGTGCAGTGATGGACGCCCCTTGGTGGTGATGGGCTGTTTCAGCAGCCCTGCCCCAGCAGCCCTGCCCCCGGGCCTTGACTATAATAATTATGATGATTTCTCTTCTAAGCGCAGTTCTCATGGCAGCCTTTGAGGTGAAAGGTTCCTCACTTAACAAAGGGGAGATCAGATTCACAGGGTTATGTGACTTGCCTGGGTTACGCAATAGGTGGCAGCAAGGGGGCTTAGATCCAGCCTCCTCAAGAGCCTGTGCTTTTTTTTTTTTTGGTACTGGGGATTGAACCCAGGGGCAGATTAACCACTGAGCCACATCCCCAGCCCTTTTCAATATCTTATTAGAGACAGGGTCTCATTGAGTTGCTTAGGGCCTCACTAAGATGCTGAAGCTGGCTTTGAACTCACAATCCTCCTGTCTCAGCTTCCCGAGCTGCTGGGATTACAAGTGTTTGCCACCACGCCTGGCCCACAGCCTGTGATTTCTGCACAGCCTCCCCTCCCAGGACCTCTGCCTGCCTTTGCTCTCTTCCCTGCAGGCTTCTGGGGAGTGATATGGAAGGAGAGAGGTGCTGGGCCCATCCCCTGCCTGTGGCTGGGGATGAATGAACCCATAGGGTATGGAGAGGTGAACTCAGGTAAGCTGCCCCCACCCGTCTCATCTGGCCAAGACCTGGAGCTATCCCTCTGAGCCCACCCCTGCTCTCCACCCTCCTGGGCCTGTCATTGCCTCTGCCAGACTTCCTCCCCCTTTTCCCCCTTTCCAGAATCTCCTTTCTGATGCTCCCTCTGGAGAATGAAGGAGGTGGCTATGCCTGTCCTATCGTGTCTCTCATGACTTCCCTCCTACTACCCAGTGGGCCCTGACCTGGATGACAGCTCCAGGAGGACCACTGCCCTTTCCCAGGCCAGGAGGGAAAGCAGGCTTGGCCTAGGGCATGGGGCCTAAAGGGAGGTGACTGAAACTTTCCTCTTACCCCACTCATAAAGCTTTCCAGCTGCTTTCTCTCCCTCCTGAACACACTGGTATCCCAGGCTAAGAATTCCTCCAAGCAGGCACTGGCCAGACAGGAGGAAACCTCCAGACTTTGGGCCTGAGCAGGTGTCTGGTAGACAGGAAGGAAAGATCAAGGAGGCCCTGAAAGGAAAACCCTGGGGACAGGCAGGGAAGACTTGTGATAGGGAAGGGGGCCACAGAAAGTTGCCCAGTATAGGGGGATGTGCTTCAAGCCAGGGTCAAAGAATCTGGCCAGTGGTTTCCACAGCAACCTTCTTTACCCCTTGCCCACTCCCCAGCCTCGGAGGTATTGGGTGCTGGGAATGCTGTTGCAGACTGCACACAATCTGTACCCCTGGATTTTATTTTTATTTATTTATTTTTGTTTGCAGTACTAGGGATTGAACCCAGGGGTGCTCTACCACTAAGCTATGTCTCCACCCCTTTCTATTTTATTTTGGGACAGGATCTAAGTTGCCTGGGCTGACCTTAAATTTATGATCCTCTTGCCTCAGCTTCCCAAGGAGCTGGGCTATAGGAATGTGCCACCATACTGGCTCCCCTGAGATCTTCTGTGCCCCTCTCTTTTCCAAACTGGACAAAGCAGACTGAACCCAGGAGAGCAGAACTGGAGGGGAGTCCCCTCTTCTTGCATCTCCTTGTCTCTTCTTCCCTTTTTTCCCCTCYCTTCTTTTCCCCCAGTCTTGTCCATCCTCATTCACTTTGACAGGTTTTGTCCTTCCAAAAAATGAGGTATTTAAGGCCAGACTTTAGCCCATAGGTCTTGCTGACAAGTCTGTTTCCCAGTGCCCTGTCAAAACTTTGAGGAAGCCAGGCAGGACCCATGCCTGTAATCCTAGTGAGTCAGGAGGCCAATACAGGAGGATCACTAGGTGGAAGCCAGACTCATCAATTTGGTGAGATCTGGCTAAAAAAGGACAAAAAGTTCTGGGGATGTGGTTTACTGGTAAAGTACCCCTAGGACTGAATCCCAATATCTGATCCCCAATATCACAGAAAAAAATTAGAGGGAAAATTCCTCTAAGTGAATTTTGAGTTGGGGGAGGAACTCTAGAGGGCATGGGGAGAGCTGGACAGGCAAAGCCAACATCCCATTCCAATATCTCAATACTTGGGAATGGCCATGAGTCATTTCCTCTTTGCTCCAGTAATTCCTAAGTCTTTTTTTTTTTTTTTTTTTTTTTTTTTAGTGGTGCTGGGGATTGAACCTAGGACCTTGTGCTTGCAAAGCAAGCAATCTCATTCAACCAACTGAGCATTCCACATCCCCAGTTCTTCTTTTTTTTTTTTTTCAATTAATCACCCCCAAGTTCTTTTTTTTTCTTTCTTTTTTAAAAATAATTTTTGTGTAAATTTTATCGAGGCACAAATAACATACAGTAAGATTTGCCAGTTTTTTTGTGTATGTGTACATGGTGCTGGAGATTGAACCCAGGACCTGGTGCATGCGAGGCAAGCACTCTACCAGCTGAGCTATATCCCCAGCCCCCCCGCCCCAAGTTCTTTTTCTATTTGGTGCTGGGCATTGAACTCAGGGGTACTTAACCACTGAGCCACATCCCCAGTCCTATTTTGTATTTTATTTAGAGACAGGGTCTCACTGAGTTGCTTAGTGCCTTGCAGTTGCTGAGGCTGGCTTTGAACTCGAGATCCTCCTGTCTCAGCCTCCCAAGCCACGGGGATTACAGGTATGCGCCACCACGCCTGGCATCGTTTTATTTTTTGAGGCGGGTCTTACAAAGTTTCTTAGGGTCTCACTAAGTTGCTAAAGCTGGTCTTGAACTTGTGATCTTCTCACTTCTCATATTGGCCTCCTGAGTCATTGAGATTGCAGGTGCCCAGCTCCACCTTCCCCTCTTGCTAGTCCTCACATTTTCACTTTCTTGGACAGTCTGATAATAAGAGGGAACAGGGAGAGTTGGTAGTAGGAGTGGGGGTGCATCCATTATCTCCTTGCTCTCCGAATGCAGTGACCCAAACTCTCTTCTGTCTAGAGGGTCTTGAATTGAAATCCCCTAAAGAGAAGGAATGAGCTGGAAAGGTATAGGTTTAAGCCTCTCCTTCCATCCTTTAGTACAAAGGGAGCTCTGTCCAGAAACCTGAGTGCAGAAACAGAAGCAGGGCTCTGGATTTACAAAATAAAGTGTTTGTTTATTATGAAATTAGAGATGGAGGCCCCTCCCCTTCCTCCTTCTTTCCCCTTCCCCAGCTGCCTCCTCCTTTACTCCCCCTCTCCCTGGGGCCTGGAAAGCACACAAGACAATGCCCAGAGCTGGGATGCCCAGGGCAGGCTGACAGCTGGGCAGAGCTCCAGGGAGGCGGCCACGTGGGGGCTGGAGCTCTCCCCCTGGGAGGCAGGCTGGCTCCCTCCTTCTGCTGGAGGCCAGTGGAGCCAGGATGAGGCCATGAGTGATGGATGGAACCATGCGGGCAGGTCTGTTAGGACAGGAGCAGCAGTGAGAGGCAGAAATTAGGGAAGGGCTTCTATCCACCCCTGGCCAAGCTGTCTAGAGACACTGACCTGGGGCAGAGCATCCCCTGCAGGAGGGTGGGCAGCAGTGGCTGGAAGTTTCTCTTGCTTTTGGGATGGACGACAGAAAACCAAAACCAAAACCAAAACCAAAAAAAGCCAGTCACAGGGACTCAGAGAGGGGGGAAGTGTGGGTGGGAGACAGACACAGAGCATATTTGTGGGCAAGAGAGACAGTATGTGAGAGCTTTAGAATCACAGAGACAAAACAGTCACAGAGAAAGCGGAATCACAGTGAGAGAACAGAGGTTCAGGGTCAGAGCCATAAAACCCAGACCAGGACAAAGGGAAAGTGGCACTGACAGAGATCCCTGGAGAGAGATCCTCCAAGTGGGAGGTAAGGGCAAGGGAGCCCCAGGGAAGGAAGGAGGGACACAGGGACGGGAGGAAGCCTGAGGCCTCTGGCTGCTGCGGCCTGCCTGGACCCTGTGGGGCTCACTCAGAGGACCTGTACTGGCTGCCCCACCGCGGCGGGCAGGGCCAGGGCCGGCGCTCAGGGGGCTGGGGGCTCTTTGGCCCCATATAGCTCGGCCAGGGTGCGGAAGAGCGGACCCCAGTCGTCCACGGGCTCCGGGGGGCCAGGGGTGCCACCGGCCTCACTGCCAGAGCCCAGGGAGCTGAGGGAGCCGCAGGAGGAGCCCCGGCCCTCATAGCCATACACCTGCACCGAGTCGTAGGGGGGCACACTGGGGTCCTCGTCCGCCTCACGCAGCCGCAATGCAAGCAGTTGGGCCACGTCAGCAGGACCCGGTGGTCGGGGCTGGCGCGGAGCCCGGGCCCGGGGCAGCACGTCGCGACGCACTGGTGGCCCAGGAACTGGTGGGGCAGCCCCATCAGGGTTCTGCAGAGCCGTGATGTCAAAGGCTTCAGTGTCTTCCTCGCCGCCCCCCTCGTCATCATAGGTGATGATGTTCTCGCGGACGTCCTCCTCCTCAAGTACCATTAGTGCTTCTTGCTTCTGCCGCCGCAGGGCCACGAAGAGCACCACAAGGGCTGCAGGAGAGTGCACATAGGCCTCTGAGCCAACAGCAGGAACAGAGCAGCGTTTCCATGCTAAACACAGATAGGTCAGGTGGAAGAGAAGGCACAGTGGCCTAGGGATCGCAAATCCTAGGTTTGACATCTGATGATCTTTGCTTTGAATCCTGACTTCACTTCTCACTTGCAGGGTGACCATAGGAAGTCACTTAACTCTTCTGAATCTCTTTGACCCTTGATTTACAAATGTGGAAAACAGAAAACTGCCAGGTATGGTGGTGCATGTCTGTAATCCCAGCTACTCTGGAGGCTGAAGCAGAAGGATTTTAAGTTAGAAGTCTGCCTCAGCAACTTAGTGAGACCCTCAGGAATTTAGTGAGACCCTGTCTCAAAAATAAAAAAATAAAAGGACTGAGGATGTAGCTCAATGGAATACTACCCTGGGTTTAATCCCCAGCACCAAGAAATAAATGAACAAACAAAAACTCCAGAAAGTCTATTTACCTTTTAGGGTTATTGAAAAGATAAAAATTAAGTATCACTAGTGATGTGCCCAGCACCACACTTGGCACAGAGTAAGAGCTCAGTAAATAATTCTTATGGTTTGTTACTGTCATTATGGATTGGCAGATCAGGGACATGAAGATAGAACTTTTCTCTTGGATACATTAGGTAGTGGGAAAATCCTGGCATTAGGGGTCAATTAAAGCCCTATGTCCAGGGAGCTGTTTCTTCTCCATTCCCCTTCAGGCCAGGATCTATGGCCCACAGTGGCTTGACTCACCAAGCAGGGTGCCCACACAGGTGACGATGGCAAGCAGGGCGCCAGTGCTGAGCCCAGTAGGTGAGAGCTGAGCCTCAGGYCGGCAGGATGCCACGGAGCCATCAGGCCGGCAGCGGCACACACTGACAGTCACCGTGGCAGTGCTGCTCAGTGCTGGCTGCCCCCAATCCTGCAGTTCTATGGGAACCAGGTAGGGGGCCTGGCGGGGTGGAGCAGGGCGGGAGGGCAGCAGCAGGCTGGCGGAGCCATCTGTGGGAAAGGGAAGGTGTTGGGGCACCTTGTGGGACATCTTCTTGGTAGGATTAGTCCAGCCCTTAAAGCCAGCTTCCCATGGGAAGGTTTGCAAAGAGCAAATGAGTATAAACCTACCTTATGTTGGGTGGAAGGCCTGACAGGGGCAGGGGTCAGGCAGGCTGGGCTGGGGTGGTAGAGGAGGAGAGGAGGGAGAGTCAGGCATGGGCATGGTTATGGCTGCAGGAGGCCACCCACCTCGGTTGTCCTGGACAGTAAAGTTGGCATCAGGGCCCAGAGGACCTTGAAGGGAGACTCGGCTACTGTTGCCGACTTCATCTCTGTCCAGGGCCCGGATAACCTGAATCAACTGGGAGGAAGAAAAACGGCCTTGAATGGAGTGCTGCTTGAGAGATGCCTTGAGAGTCCAACCCACCTGCCTCAGCTGCTCACCTGGCCAGGGGCTGCAGAATCACAAACAAAGGTGTCATAGGGCTCAGCCAGCTGGGGAGCATTGTCATTCTCATCCAGGGTCTGGATGGCCACTTGTACACGGGAGGCCTGTGCAGAGCTATCTGAAGCCAGAACACCAACACATACACACCACATATGCACACATAACAAAGTTTACACATAAACATACATGGTGTGTGGTCATGGATGTCACATGCAACACGCAGCATGCACATTTAATACATGAAATAAGCATGTAATAATGAAGTAGCAGCAAACCACATTGTGAAGCAAGTGGAACAACATTGCCAAGTACATAGAATATTGATATAGTACCCAAGATAGTTGCAGTACATAAGATATATGTGGTAGAAATACAGTACCCATGATATATGTACACAATAACCCACATGCAGGACACATAGAGCATATGAAAAGTAAGTAGAGGGTGCATACAGGTTATATGCAGACAAGGGTCATGAAATATACAAACACATTCATAACACATATTCAAAATGAGTGTTAAAAAACAAATACAACATACATGAAGCAGATGTTTGATATACACAGTACATGCAGTGCCACCCCCGTTCACATACCTAGGGCCCAAAGAAAGCATTTTCACGTATAGTGATCACGCATAGCACCAGTGAATGGACACACACACACACACACACACACACACACACACACACACACATTCCATCAGAGATCTGGGAGGCTATAGTGTAGCAATAAGTATTACTTAGATTTGACCTTGGGGAGGAAGAAGCTTCATGGTCTACAAAGTGCAAAGCCAGGATGGCCTGGCCATTATGGCCAGACTCAGGCCCCCTATTCATCCATCCCCTTCATTTAGTGGCTCCCCGCCATTACTCTACCTTGTTTTCCACTGCTAATGCCATCCAGGAGAGAATGCAGAGGTGCACCTGTCATCTCTCCTAGGCTGAGCCTCCAAATTCCTTTAGTCTTTTCCCTAGGCAGGGGGAGAGCTGGCTGGCCCTGGCCAAAGGGGCTGAGGTCATAGCCTTGTCAGGGGAGGCTGAGTGGACTGCCTGGGATAGAGCCTGGAGACTGGATGGGGAACAGTCCACTCCTTCTCTGTAGGATGGGCCCAGGGATGCTAGCCAGTACTGAGTAGGGGTAGGAGCAGGAATGGCAGGAAGGTGAGAAGACAGCGAGGAGGACACATACATACACAGCTACATATACAGGAAGGCAGGCATAGTCATATGATGTATGTCTACACACACACACACACACACACACATACACACAAGGCCATCCTTACAAGCATAGACATAGCACTGCCAGATAGCACACAGTTGTCTATACAGAAACACAAACTCAGACACATACACTTAAACACACATGAAAGCCAGTATGGTTGAAGAGGTAACAGCTCAGACTATAGACCGACTGGGTCAGATGGCTCCACCACTTAATCTTTGTATGACCTTGGGAAGCTACTAAACTTCTCTGCCTGAGTTTCCTCATTTAAATATGGGGAAAAAATCATATCTTCCTTATAATGTGTGGTGATGACAAACTAAATTAATCCATTTTTGGTACTTAAAATAGTGCCTGATATACAATAAGTAACAAATCATTATTATCCTCTCCACAAACACACGTACACAATACAGTATATACAAACAGCTACTTGCATATACAACTATATACATCCAATCACACATATGCAGAAATAATAGCAATAAAATTCTAGATACTCGATCACTAACACATTTCCAGTTATATATATATATACTCACAAATTGTGTGTAGGTGTGTACATATATTTTTCACACATATGGATTTATAAACATATCTGAGTTCTACCCACATGTACACATACTTATAGCTCTTCACTGACATACACAAACATCTTCATATACAGTCCCAATCTTGATATAGAGTATGAAGACAGTAGAGGCACAAGAAGGAGGTAAGGGACTGTTCACAGAAGGGAGGGAGGATTCCCTGTCTCCCCAGGCCATACTGGGTGCCTGAGGGAGAGGCACAAGAGCCTACTTATGATGCTGGCACTCCTCCCCTTCCTTGAGGGCTTCCACCAGGCCTTCTCTGGGAGGGGCTGCTAGTACACTCCTCCTTAGCTGCCGAAGGAGGTGCCCAGCCCTTTTCTGGCTCCCAGCTCCAGCCTGAAGCCGAATGTACTGGGTAGACAGATGCACAGGGAAGGAGAGGTAGGGCTCACTGAAGCAAGACCCACTGGCTCTATGCTCTGTGCAAGTCGGGTGAAGGGGAACATTTAGGGACAGAAGAATGCTCAGGGAGACCAACTGTGCCCAGCCCAGCCCAGCCCAGCCCAGGAGACAGGAGGCCTGCTTGGAGGTGAGGATCCAGGCTAAGGACCCAGGAACTGGACACACTGGTGAAGGTGTGATGGCAGTCATTGCCCTTCCCCACCCACATGCTCAAGGACAGCCCCTCTGCCAGCAGGATGCTGCCTCCTCAGGGGCCCAGGACTCCTCACCAAGCTCAGTGGCCAGCACAGTGAGGTTGTGCCAGACACGAGTCTCACGGTCCAGGGGTACTGCTGTTCGGATGGTACCATCTTCGGGCTCAATGGAGAAGCAATGCTCTGGATCCGAGTGGGGGAGGATGGAATATCTGAGGAAGATGGGGCTATGTCGGTGGCTGTCCTCCCTCCCTTGATTTCCTCCCTCCTGGGCACCTTGTTGGACCTCCTGGCTCATCTGGGCAGAGGGCCCAAGATCCTTGAGCATAGCCTGCCCCCTGCACCCAGAGCCATAATTCATGTTGGAGTCTCCTTAAAAGGCAAATATTCCCAGGAGTTCACCTCCATTATACACCTGTCCTAAGWTTCAGGGGGACTCTATTTCGTGAAAGTGGAGAAAGAGATACAGAAAAAGATGAAAGTGGATTATACTACCCATCTTTCAGATTTCTGGGCTCCATTGTGTGGACACAAAGACTTGTGTTTCAGCCCTGCTCTGCTTTGGACCAGATATGTGGCCTTGGGCAGACTGTCTCCTCCTTTTTTTTCCCCTTCAGGTGCTGGAGATTGAACCCAGGGCCTTGTGCATGTGAGGCAAGCACTCTACCAACTGAGCTATATCCCCAGCAACTGAGCTATATTCCCCAGCTAGATTGTCTGACCTCTCTTTACTTAACTGCAAAATGGGAATAACACCAACATCTCCCTCCCAATGACAGAGATGCTGGCCATGCAGGTGTAAAGAATAGCTTGCTCTCAAGATAGATTAGAATCTCAGCCCTACCACTTATTGTTGGCAAATTGCTTAACCACTTACAGCTGGCCTCTAAAACAACTGGTGATGGTAACACCTACTTAATAGGGCTGATGTGAAAATTAAATGTTATCCAGTGGGTAAAATGTGAAGCACTTAGGGAGGGATCAATAGAAATCCACTTATCAAATGAGATTATACTTAGCAGGGTGTGGTAGTGCATGCCATTTTTGGGCTTGATAGAGAAGCAATGCTCTGGATCCCAACTACTTGGGAGGCTGAGGCAGGAGGATTGCATGTTCCAGGCCAGCCTCAGCAACTTAGTGAAACACAGTCTCAAAATTAAAAAAAAAAAATTAAAAGGACTAGGAATATGGCTCAGTTATAGACTACCCTTAGGGTCAATCCCTAGTACCACCAAAAAAAAAAAAAAAGAAAAAAGAAAAAGAAAAAGAAAATTACATTTGCCTGCACTACCACTGGGAGGTGCCACTATAACCTGCCCAGGGATGGGCAGTGGTTAGCCAGGCCCTTCAACCCTTCCCTGGGACTCAGGTCTGCAGATCAGCAAGGCAGGCCACAGGTGGGACAGTCTTGCTGGGAAGTATGACCTGTGGCAAGGTAAAAGGGGCATATCCTTGGGTGGAAAGAACCCACCTCTGTGCTCCTCTCTGGAGGCCCTGTCCCTCCCCTAGCCCACATCCCAGCTCACCTGATTGGACTGGCTGGGGAGTCTAGGTCAGCTGCTGAGACCTGGCCCACCAGGGTCCCTGGAGACTTGTTCTCCATCACTGTCAGGTGGTAGGCAGCCTGGGTGAAGGCAGGTGGCTCTGGAGCATCTTGCACAGTCACTCTCACTGAAGCCACATCCTTGAAGGGCCCTCGCCGCAGGTAGGCTGGGTCAATGAGTGTGTTGGTGGCCTCTACACGGAATGAGTAAGAGCGGCGGGTCTCAAAGTCTAGGGGCTATGGTGAGATAGAGAGTAAGTGAGGCACGTGGAAACCAGGGCAGGTCCAGTGTGAGCTGGAAGAAGGTGGAGTCCCTTCTCTATATGCACCAGATGCTGATGGGGGTGGTTCTAAGAGGGCTGTGGCCTAATGGTCAGCACATTACATAGTATTGTGACTCTAGGGCTTTCCCCAGATCCACTGAAGATTTATCAAACAATGTGAGTCAGTCATTTTCCCTTTCTAGGCCCCCGGGCCTCACCCGAAAGATGAGATGGCCATGATCTCTGTGCTCCAACATAAGGGTCCTGAGTATGTTCTTGGAGACCAGTTAGAAATGTGCCCAGTGGGTGAGGCAGGAGGAGATGTACTTGAGTCTGCAGGTGGTGCTGGGGATTGAACCCACGGCCTCACACAGGCTATGGTAAGTGCCCTAGCACTGAGCTACCCATCCAGCAGAGTCTGCATGTGTTAATAATCAGGAGGCTAACCTTGCGGACAGTGAGGAGCCCATCTCGACCCTGGGCATCTGTGCTGATGCTAAAGGCCTCTGACCCTTCCCCATCCAGGATGCTGTATGCCATGAGAGCATTATCCCCCAGATCTGGGTCCTGGGCCTGCAGCCGGCCCACCAAGGTGCCAGGCCCAGCTGTCTCCACCACGGAAAACTGGTACAGGCCTGGGGAGGATGGAGGGAGACACATTCTTAGAGTCAGCCCTCTTCCCTAACCCCAGCACTTCCTTCTCCCAGGGTGTGGGCTGGGGTTGGGGTGAGGACGGATGGTTTCTTTAGAGGCTGTAGGGGTGGGGTGGTCAAGGGACAGCTCAAGCACAGTATTGCCCCCTTACTCTGAGGGAACTTGGGGGGGTTGTCGTTGACATCGCTGAGAGTGACCGTCACTGTAGTGCTGCCTGATAGCCCCCCCATGTGGCCGCCCATGTCCTTGGCCTGGATCACTACTAAGAACTCCTCCTGGGTCTCCCGGTCCATGTTGGGGATCGCTGTACGCACCACTCCTAGGGAGAGATACTAGGTCAGGGGGTGTCTATCCTGGGGACTGCCCACCAGGGTCCTGAGCTCCATCCTCACCAGTCTGGGGGTCCACAGAGAAGAAAGGCAGTCCATCTAGCACTGTGTATACCAGCTTGGCACTGTTCCCATAGCTGGGGTCATCAGCATCATGAGCAGTCACCTGGATCACTGATGTCCCTGTGGGGGATCCCAGTACCCCACTCAGCAGCAGTAGGGCCAGATGAGGGGTCCCAGATGTGAGGGAGGCTGAGTTAAAGGAGCTGAATTCTGGGGCAGACAGCAAAGGAGGAAGGAGAGGTAAATGGGCACCTATTAACTGCAAGTGGGGCATTCAGAGTAGGGGTGCTCACCAACATTGGACATCTCAGGTACTGTAGCATGGTAGGGCCCGAGAGGAAACACAGGTGGATTGTCATTGATGTCTTGCACTTTGATGATGAACTCTGATGGGGGCTCCAAGGGCCGATTGGAGGCTCGGTCCACAGCTTGAGCCAGTAGCACGTATTGTGCCTTCTCTTCCCGATCCAGGCTTTTGGTGACATGGATATTGCCTGTGGCCTCGTCAATCACAAATACAGTGCCTGCTCCCTCTCCGGTCAGCAGGTACTTGGTGCGGCCCTCACCCCTGTCAACATCTGAGTGCAGCTGTAGGAGTCAGGGAAAAATAGCAGAGGGCTCCCAGTGCAAGGAAAGAGGGTTAAGTCTAGGTTTGGGTGGAGGGCTGGGAATCCTGAAGGACCAAGGTCATTGCAGAAGTGATAAAGTTGCAGGGCGGGGCCTAAGGGCCTGACAGAGTAGTCAGAGTAGACATGGGAAGGGCTAATCCTTACCTTGCCAATAAGGACGGGCTCTGGACCGGCATATTCCTCAATGACAAAGAACTGGTTCCAGACCCAGCTCCTTCGGGTCCGCAGTAGTGCAGGCCCTGGGCGCCCCCGGGACCCTGCCCAGGCCCGAACTGGGGCTGCCAGACGCCCCATGCAGCCCCAGCCACCCAGCCAGGCCAGTAGGAGCCTCACCAGGCCCCACATTTTTGGATTCCAGCCAGGGCTCTGTTCACTGGCCGGGGGTGCTGAGGCTGGGCTGGGCCAGGTGGCCCATGAGCTGGCTGGGGTGGAGGGGCAGATGCAGTGGGGCTACCCCATGGATCCACACCTGTAGGACAGGTAGCTGCTCAGGGTCAAGGAAACCCTAAACCGTATTCCTCCCCAAAATTCTAAAGACCAGATCTCCAGAGAACCAAGACACCCCAATGCCCAGAACCCAGACTAAGGCAGAGAGCAGTTTGCTCCTTCCCTCCACCCAGGCTCTGCCTGTATTCACCTCCAGCCTTGCAAACTGATAAATCTCTGACCAGTCAACTCTGAGTAGAAAAGCTGGGGAGGAAAACAGAAGAGGAGATGTTGGGATGGTTTGGAATCCCAAATCCTGCCCCCCATCCTCCCACCTCAGGCATGTAGCCAGGGGACTGGAGGAGGGGGGACTACCAGAGAAAGGGTTTAGAATTAAGGGGTTAGATTCAGAGGTGTGGCCTTAAAGTGTCTATAGGGACGGGCAGAGAGATGACAAGGAGTGCAGTCTAAGACAGGTTGAGAGCCCATAAAAGTCCCTCCCCTATGGGAAGCCCCCACCTTTCCAGATCCCATCCCCAACCCACAATGCCAGCTGCAGTCCTTTGAAGGGGGATTGGTCTCATGAGGCAGAGTGGGGGCCAGAGCTAGAAGACAGGGGACAAGGTTTCAGGCCAGGCAAAGAGACAGGGGCCAGAGACAGTGTGATTGAGGGCTGGACCCAAGACTCGGGGGTTGTCCAGCAGAGACAGAGAGAAGATGAGAGAGACACAGAATGGCAGGTTGGTGGGGGAGAGGGAGAGATATGGAAAGATGATATCTGAAAAGCAGAGAGAAGTCATAGGTACCAGTCTTCTTGGAAGCTGGTTGGGGTGCAGAGGGGTTTTCAGCATGTGTGTATGGGGGGGAAAGCACTGGTGTTATATCAGGCCTTGGGAACTTCATTCTGGGAGAGGGAACAGCCACGAACAGAAGAGGTAGGGAGAAGCTGCGGGAAGGGAGCTAGGGAGAGGACCCTTCCCACTGTTCTCTCTCTCCTCTCTCCTCCTGGGGGGCGTCCTCAGGTAGCTGTCGTTTCCGCCCTTCCTCCCCCAGAGCAGACACACACCTGACAGTCCGTTTGCTCCCGAGGGAAGACAGGCCAGAGGGAAGCTGGGGACCAGGGAGGGAGGCGGGACGAGAAAGAGAGAAGGAAGGGTATAGAGGAGTGGGAAATAGGATAGAGGGAAGGGAAGAGAGGAAAGGGAGTCAACAGGGGAGGGAAAGGAGAGCGGGAAAGGGAAAAGAGAAAGACAGGAAAGGGGAGAAAGGTGGAGGAAGGAAAAGGCAAAGAGATGGGAAAAGACAGGACAAGAGGGAGAGAAGATTGGGAGAGCGAACGGGAAGAGACGGCAAACAGGCAGAGAGAAGGAGGGTGAAGAGAAATAGAGAAAAGGAAAGAGGTGCGAGGGAAGCAAGGGAAGAGGCAGAGCGCGGGAGAAGGGAGCCGGCAGTGGGCTCGCAGCCACGGAGCGCACTGCTCTGAAGACACCCGCAGGCAGCTGGCCCCCTGCTGCTCCTCCAAGGATTTCCGACCCCAGGCTCCCGGGCAGGCGCCCTTACCTGACACTACCGAGGGGCCCAGGACAGCGGGGAGCGCCCCCGCCCGTTCCCGTCGCCGGCTCCCGGGGGCGCAGCCCCAAGCAGATCCTAGCGGGCGCCGCGGCTCCGCTGCAGGTCTGAGCGGCCCCGGCGAGAACAAGGGAGCGAGACGGAGGGGGCGGGGGAAGGAGGCTCCGCCTGCGGAGGAGCGAGGCGGCTCCGCGCCGCGCGGGAGAGGAGAGCCCAGCCTCCGACCCTCCCCGGCCAGCCGGGCCCGCGCGGCGGGGGCGGGGGCGGCGCCTTGCGCTCGCCCCCTCGGCGCTCCCAGGCGCATACAGATGCGGCGCCCCTCCGGGGCCCGGCCCGCAGCGTCCGGCAGGGCACTGGGGCAGGAGGACAACATCCAGGCCACAGCGCCAGGCCATTTCCGAAGATCCGTCAGGGAGGGTGAAACAGCGAGCGCCAGGCTGCACGTCGCCCGCAGCAGGGCAAAGAGCGAGCGCGCGGTGAGGCGGGGAATTAGGAGCCCACTGCGGAGACCAGGCTCCCCGCTCCCGGACCCGGCTTTTGGGACCGGTGTAGCTGCAGGACGACAGCATCTTGGGATGTTTGCACTTCAGAACATCGTAGCGGGTCGACTGGGGTGCGCTGAAGGATGGCAGGAGGGTCCAGGAAGCCTACGAGTCGGGCCCAGGGAAGGGGTCAGGGATGCAGGCACGACATCGTCGGGAGGGCGGAGGTGGGCAGTGGAACCTTTTTGGGAAGCTTATTTGCAAGACCTAGAGTGTGGGACTACCGCCCCCTGGTGGCAGTTGTAGAAAGCACCTCGAAGATGGTGAGCAGGTGACCAAATGCCCAATACACAGGACCAGGAAGCGGGAAGCTAGCCATTCTAGGCCTGCTGCAACGGAAATGGGGTGTTTCATTCCCCTGGGGTTCCCCCTCCCCCAAAGTGAGCAAGACCCACAGCAAGAATGAAAAACTGTGGGAAGTCCCTGCTTCATGAAACAGTAGTTGGCTGGAGTGCATGGAGTGTCAGTCCTGACTGCTCCATGCAACAGCCATTCTCTTCAATTTGGCTTCTCACCCAAACCCTTTTCAACAAAAGCCACACACATACTTGTTAAAACTAAGTCAGATTTTTATTTTTTTTCCATAGACCACATCATTTAATAATAAAAAAAATAAAAATAAAAATTGAACGAAAGGAAAAGGTGGATATAAAGTGGAACCAGTGGGCAAGAGGCAAAGGCTGCAGGACAGAAGAGACTGGGAACTGCAGGGGCCCGGGGACTCAGGAAGAGATGCTGATTCAGCTCATAGGTGACCCAGTCCTGGCCCCGGCTGTTCCCAAGAGGAGGCTGTGAGTACCCAAGGAAGGTGGTGAGTAGGACAGAGGGAAAAATCAAAGAGGTTTGGGGGACTTGTTTCCCACCTCTGGCCAACCACCTCCCTCCATAACCTGGCTCTTCCCTCTCACAGACTTAATGGAAAAATGAGAGGGAAGGAAGGGCTAAGCCCCAACAGATAGGTTAAGGAGAGTGTATGAGGGGGAAAGATGGCCACTGCTCCATTTGGTTATGTGGGGACAGGTGGCARTCATACTTCAGCACTGGGCAAATGGTGTGAAAAACCCTTGGTTACAGGGTGGTGGTGATTGTACCTATCCCTCTGTGGCCTTCAACCCCCTGGGGCAGAGTGGCTGGTACCTGCAGCTCTCTAGTGTTTTTCCAGCTAGCGACGCCCACCCCTGTCACGAACTGGTGTGCTCCGACTTCGGCTTCTGCTGTGGCGCTTGGTGTCTCTGCGATCCCTCTCCCTGCCTCGTTCCCGGTCCCTTTCTCTATCCCGATCTCGGTCCCCCCTGTCCCTCTCCCTGTCCCTGTCTCTCTCCCTGTCCCTCTCCCGGCTATGCTCTCGGCGTTTCTCCCTCTCCAGCTGTCGGTTCCGTTCCCGCTCAGCTTCCTTCTCACGCTCCTTCTGTTCTTCTTCTTCTTGTTCCTTTCGCCGCTTTTCCCGTTCCTTGGCCCGTTCAGCCCGCTCTGCCTCCTTCTGAACAATCTGTAGCCAGAAGGGTAGAGAGGAGGCATTGCAGCCCTGCTTGCCTTGGTCCTACTCTGTCCATCTTGCGTGGATCCCTCACTCTTAGCTCAAGGTCACTGTAAGCTTTGCTAAGCAGGAAGGGGGGGGGAAGGGACTTCACAATTGGACCTGTCTTTCTCAGGAGCCTCTTTTTCAACTTCTATATGCTGATAAGCATTGGTGATATCCATGCCCAACCTGTTATTTCCCTAGCTTCCATCACCCTAGATGTAAACAAATCTCTTTTCTCTTCAGTTTTAAGCCAGAAATTCTCAAAAGGCCCATCACTATTAAAAAGCAATAATCACCCCCCTCCCAAAAGACAACAACAAAAAAACCCCACAAAGAAATGGATGACTTTATAAAACAGATTTCTTAGCCAGGCCTGTAATCCCAGCTACAGTTCAAGGCCAGTTCTGGCAACTTGGTGAATCCCTGTCTCAAAATAAAAAGGGTTGGGAATATAGCTCAGTAGTACAATAATCCTGGGTTCAAGCCCCAGTTCTGCAAACAAATATAAACCAGCTTCTCAGATGCCTACAAACCTCAGTTCCTGTTAGGAACAGGATCATCTTCACTCAGGTTTGGTTTATTTATTTATCTGGCAGTGCTGGAGATGGAACCCAGGACTTCAAACAGTCTAAGCAAGCACTCTACCACTGTGCTGCATCTCCAGCCTTCAGGTTTGTTTCTTCTTTGGCATACTCATCCAATTGTTTCCTTTTTTTGTTTGCTTTGGGGAATAAGCCCAGGGGTGTTTTACTACTGAGCCACATCTCTAGTCCTTTTTATTTTTTGAGAAAGGGTCTTGCTAAGTTGATGAGGCTGGCTTTGAATTTGCAATCCTCCTGCCTCAGCCTCCTGAGTCACTGTCTTCCCTTATTATCCTAAGCCAATATCTGGGCCTATTCACTTTCAGCCATGTGAATATCCTCTCCCACTGACCTCAAGTCTTGCAACTTTGAGCATGAAGCAGAGTACTCACCTGGCTGTCAGTAAGTGGGAGCCAATAGATGCAGGGAGCTGCCTTAGTCTTACGAAAAAGATCGTCTAGCAGCTTGGCAGGTGGCTCCTCCTGGGCTTTCTCTGAGGTGTAAGAATATGAATCACATGATGCACATGACCCTGACCCATCTCCCCTTTGGGTCTCTGTCCCACCATCTAGGGGACACATATGCCCCCACAACTAAATACCTTTCTTCTCACTTTTCTTCTCTTTAGACTTTGCACGTTCCTTGCGGCGGCGATCACGGGAACGTGATCGGGAACGGGGACCTTCTCGAACTTTATCACGATCCCATTCCCGCTCTGATCGAGTTCGTTCTCGTCGCTCCATTTCCCGTTCCCGTTCTGCCCACTGTTCCCTCACTGCCCGTTCTTGCTCCCGCTGTTCTGCCCGTGGGTGCTGTGGTGGCTGGACTGGGGGTGGAGGCGGAGGGTGAAGAGGCCGGGGTACCCCCTGTTCCTCAGTCTTAGTTTCAGAGGGACGGTCCACCAAGAGGCCCCGGTGGTAGTCCAGCTGTGGGCAGAGGAGGAACAAATACAGTCAGTTTGGAGACACTATCACTCCCATTAAAACGACCCAGGAGTACAGGCACTTTGAGGAGCTCTAGTTCAACTAAGGGAACTAAGTAAGCAGGGAGAAGAGGGATGAATAATCTCAGTGACTACAGATTTGGTCAGTATCTCAGCTGGAATGTAGCAGAAAATGATTTCCCCTGTCTCCCCTTCTTCCTCTCCTTAAGTTTCTTACCTCATCTTGTTCAGCGTAGTCAGCACAAAGGAATTTGGGATTGGACTGGGGCCATTTGACCCCATGCAGAGCTGTGCGGGTGGCTACGGCTTCCTCTACTGTTGAGTACTATAGAGTGAGAAGGCAGAGAGTCATGGTATAACTTCAATCTTCTCACTTGCCACAATGCCCTTAAGCCACACTGGTCACAAAAGGAAATATACACCACAACCTATAGAATCATTTTCTTCCCCTCACCGTTACAAAGCAATGAGATTTGATCTTGTCAATCCAGAAGGCCTCTTCCACCAAGGTTCCTGTACGTCCCAACAATTCCTTCAGTTGGCCTAAAGTGAAGGGACGAACCTGCCAATGAAAATAGATTTTCAGGGCTGGGAATAAAGCTCAGTGGTAAAGCACTTGCCCCAAAATGCATGAGATCCTCGGTTCAATCACCACTACTGCAAAAAAAAGGATTTTCAGGGTCTTGGAGAGGGCAAGAACACCCATATATCCAGTCTTAGAAAATGATTAAAAGTATTTATTCAAGGTCAGGAAATGAATAACTGGCAAATCTTGGTGTTCAACCTCAGATGCACGAGCCCAAAGCTCAAACTCTTTAATAACTAAAAGTCTGGAATGTGGGCCAGGTATGGTAGTACACATTTATAATCCTAACTTGGGAGGCTGAGGGAGGAAGACTGGAAGTTTGGAAGTTCAAGGCTAGCATTAGCAACTTGTCTCCAAAAAAATAAAGAGACAAGATTGGGGATTGTAGCTCAAAGTTTCAATCCAACTTACCAAATTGGAGATATGGACGATGTTACTGATTTTGCCTCGGGGTGGGGAGGGCACCTGGGCAGTTCGAACTGGGTCATCAATTGTAATGGAAACTCCAGACTTCTGCTGGCTAATGGACCGTCGAGTTAAAGTGTCTCCTAAAGTCACTATCAAAGAGAGCACAAGAATAGCTTTTAGTAGGGAACAATGTTGGCTTACCTCTAAATATTGACTCAAGCAGCCACTCTTCAATCTACATGTGCTGAGCATCCATAATGTACAAGGAACAATGCTAGGCTAAGATTCAAATATTAAACAGATTCTCACCAAGCTCAAGTAGCTTTAATATCTAGAAGGAGATGACACATATGGAAAAAAAAAAAAAAAAAGAACTAAAAGGTAGAAAACATCAAATGCCTACAGAGGTCCAAATGAAGTGCTCTGGGAATCAGTGAACTGCATTGTATTTCATTCACCTTTCTTTACTTCATGTTCCACAGGAGGTGGCAAGGCTACCTCTACTGACACTTGGGGAGGTACAGGGGGTTCTGCTTCAGGCTCCTTCTCTTCTTCCTCTTCTTCTCTCTGCCCATTTTCCTGGCCTTCTGCAGGTACTACCTATAAAGGTACAAGATAACAGAGGGTGTGTCTATCAAAACCATACTAGTACATTCTTTTCAGCCTCTAGTGCTCTGGTGAGACAGTAGTAGAGCCAACCTAGAAGGTTCCTTCTGCTAAGGGGAGATTTTTATTTTGCAGCACTGAGGATTGAACCCAGGAGCCCTCTACCACTGAGCTACATCCCTAGCCCTATAGGGTCTTGATCAGTTGACAAGGCTGGCCTTGAACTTGAGATTCTCCTACCTCAGCCTCCTCAGTAGCTGGGATTACAGGTCTGAGCAACCAAGCCCAGCTAAGGGGAGACTTTATTATTTAGTTAACTCCCACCAGATCCTGAGATTGTTACTACATCAACTTTGTCTTAAGAAAAACTAACACAGGTCAGGCATGGTGGCACATGCCTATAATCCCAGTKGCTTGGGAGGCTGAGGGAGGAGGATCATGAGCTCAAAGCCAGCCTCAGCAACTTAGCAAGACCCTGTCTCTAAAAGAAAAACTAATATAGAGGTAGGCAATTATTTATGGTTAAGGCAAGATAATAAAACATTTAGGCTTTGCAAGCTACATGGTATCTTGCAACTTCTTAACTCTGGTGAGGTTGTGTTCAATAAAAATTATTCACAGAAGGCAGCGGACTGGATTTGATACTCTGACCAATTAACTCAATACTTTAGAGTTCTTTTCCAAGATTTTACCTTAGCTCCCCACCTGCCTGTTCTGTGCCTACTACCCTTCCCCTGATGCTAGAGTGTAGAAGCCTTACCTGAGTGACTGTCCGGCATATTTTCAGCCCCTTGTCATGGGTCCCATCGTCACCATTACGCTCTGTCTCATCCTCAGAGATGCGGGAGTCATCAGCATGAAGATCCACAACAGCCTCCTGCCCCGCCAGGGGTTTGATGTCGGGGATGAGGCTCTGGGACACAGATACCCCCCCTCCCCGTTACACTGGGCCCATGTCTACTCCCACCTTAACATGTCTTCTCCCACCTTAACATGTCTTGTCCTCCCTTTCCCTGGCTCTTCCCACCTCACCTTGAGTGATTCAGTGGTGATACTGATGGAGGGCTTCTTCTGTGTGGTGGCTGTGCTGGCTCCCCAACGACGTTTCCGACCAGGCTGGCCACCCTCTGTGTCACTGTTTCCAGCTGGTACCCCCTTGGTAGCTGCTGTCCCCAAGAAATAGGACCCAACAGTTAGATGGTCTCAGGCCCTCTGCTGGTTCACACCATAATACCCACAGGTTGCCTTCGACTGGAGTTTTAGTAAAAGGTTAACTTAAGAAATCATATTAAGGGGATGGGGAAACCATGGCTTCGGAGTGACCAAAAAAACCATGGCTTCAGAGTGACCAATAAAAGGTCTGTCCCTTTCTGACAGACAAAAACTATAATCTATAAAAGCAAAAAGGGAGGGGCTGGGGATGTGGCTCAAGCGGTAGCGCACTCTCCTGGCATGCGTGCGGCCCGGGTTCGATCCTCAGCACCACATACCAACAAACATGTTGTGTCCGCCGAGAACTAAGAAATAAATATTAAAAAATTCTCTCTCTCTCTCCTCTCTCACTCTCTCTTTAAAAAAACAAAAACAAACAAACAAAAAAAAAACTCCCTCCTCCTGGGCCCCTCTCTCTCCTCTCTTGCTCTCTCTGACTTCTTAAAAAAAAAAAAAAAAAGCAAAAAGGGAGAGATAACTAACTAGTTTGTTGAGCAGTTGTTATTTTGGCATTAGGGACTGAACCCACAGGTGCTCTACCACTGATCAACATCACCAATCCTTTTTATTTTAGGACAGTGTCTAAGTTGCCCAGGCTGACCACAAACTTGTGATCATCCTGCCTTAGCAGTTTAAGCTTTATTTATTTTTCATCAAATGGTAGTTTCTCTCTCTCTTTTTTTTTTTTTGTAATGGGGACTGAACCCAGGAACTCTACCACTGAGCTACACTGCCAGCTGTTTTTTTTTTTTTTTAATTTAGCTTTTAGTTGGATACACTTGTTTGTTTTTATTTGGTGCTAAGGATTGAACCCAGGGCCTCCTACGTGCTAGGCGAGCACTCTGCTGCTGAGCCACAACCCCAGTACCAGTCCCAGCCCCAGCTGTTTTTTATTTTATTTTTGGACTGGGTATTGAACCTGTGGTGAGCTACATCCCCAGTCCCTTTCATCTTTTGAGATAGGATCTTGCTAAATTGTTGAGGCTGCCTTGAACTCTAATCCTCCTTCCTTGACCTCCTGCCTTGGTGCAGTTTGAGCTTTTAAATGGTAAGCAAAAACATCTGACGTGGCAGAGAAGGCAGCCTAGGTATAGGAATGCATAAAAAACAAAGATGTTGGGCATGGTGGTGCATACCTATAATCCCAGTGACTCAAGAGGCTGAGTCAAGAGGATTGCATGATTGAGACTAGCCTTAGCAACCTAGCAAGACCCTGTCTCAAAATAAAAAAACAAAACAGGTTGGGAATGTAGCTTGGTGGTAGTGGTAAGGTTCCCCTGGGTTCAGTCCCTAAAACGGTGGTGGTGGCAGAGGGGGACCAAATRACCATGTCATGTTAAAAATCTAAGCAGAATTTAAAATTAAAATGTGATCTCATACTGTAATTCTCGCACTACAGTTTGATATCTAAATTATAAACAAACAACTATTATACCTTTTTTTGAGGAGGGGGTTTAGGGAGGATTGAACCCAGAAGTACTCTACTACAGGGCTACATTCTCTGCCTTTTTAAAGATAGGGTTTTGCTAAATTATTCATACTGGCCTCAAACTTGCTATCCTTCTGCCTCAGCCTCTTGAGCAGCTGGTATTAGAGGGGTGCTCCATCACACCCAACTTATTATACTTTTGTAATCTATAGAGTTCCACATTGGAAAACTGTTAAGAGCTGGGCATAAGGACAGGTGCCTATAATTCCAGCTACTTGGAAGGCTGAGACAGGAGTCCTGATTGTGAATTTGAGGACACACTGGGAAATATGGCAGACCTCATTACAAAAACAAAAAGGCCTCTAAAGCTAGGTGGGAAATGATCTGAGACACAGTGCATCTTATTAAAATATAACTGGAGAAACATGACAAGGACTATCTAAAATTTTAAATTTCAAAATGGAACCCAAAATATGTCAGGTACAGATTTGCTAGGTGAAGGGGCAGAGAAGGGATGACTAAGAATTTCACTGAGAGAGAATGGGACTCCATTTCTCTATGAACACTGATTTGATGGTATTCCTGGCCTTTATCAGGGATTCAGGGCTAGACTTACAGACAACGGAGATCTTCCTCTTGAATGATTTGGGCAGCGAGCTCTGTATAGAGAAGATAAGGGGGAGAAAGAGAAAGAGAGACACCCCACAGAGAGGGGGAAGGAGGTTAAATGGGGCAGTCTTAGCATAGGCTCCAAAGACACACAGAAAGAGACAGAGAAAGATAGAGACACAGAGACAGGGACAGAGACCAAAACAGAAGCGGCAAACGGCAAAAACGAAGCAGAATCAATGCAAGTTAGAGAAAAAAATAAAAACCAAACATCAGCAGGGAGAAGACATCTATTCCATACCAAACCTATGTATTAGCTTTACCAGAAATAAGCTGGAAGAGGAATCAGCAGCTTCCCATACCTTTATAGATGTTGGGCATGCCCTCTTCCACTATCTCTACAAGTTGAGGACACCAAGCCCAACAAACTGTGCCCAGAACTGGGTCATTTACTCTCCCAGGAACTTCCTTGCTAACCCAAGGAAACTCAACTTTGGGATGGCAACTTCAGCAGGGCAGTCCTCCTTTTCTCAACCCCCAGCCTGACATCCACTAATAATGTCAGGCTTTGGAATACTTGAGGGCAGGCTGTCAGGACTATCTAGGCTCCCACCACAGGAAAGGGGCCACATCAGACTCATTAGATATGAAAGGTGTCTCTAGTAAAGGGAAGTTTGTGCGAAGGACAGGCTGTCCCCAGATACATTGTCATTCTTTCCAACCACTGTCTACAGCCTTGCAGAACCTTACTGTTTTTTCTCCAATCAGGGCTCAAGCCTTAGGGGCTCTGCCAAGGACCAGAAGATAGTTTGGATATGTTTCTTCCCTAAAACACTGAATGGAAGAAAGACTAAGAACTAAGGGGGATGGGGAAGGGCAACAGAGATTTTAGGTGCTTATTTCTGGAAAAACTAAGACTACCCTACCACCCTTCTAAAGGGTAGGGCAGAACCCACTTGATGAAATCCCTTTTCCCTAACCACCCCCGGCCCCGTTTGTGTCGTCTAACCAAGTCTCCTTGGTCTCTGTTAAGGGCCAGCCTGACCCTTAGCCGGGCCGTYCTCGATGGGTAAGTTAGTGAGAAAAAAAAAGGTCTTAATTAAAACAGGAAAAACATGAACCAAATAAATAAATCCAACAAAGAAATCAGAAAAATAAGGATAAAGAAAAAAATCAAAATAAAAAAGATTAAAAAAAAAAAGGAAAAGAAGAAGAAAATAAAGAAGAAAATAAACTAGGAATATGACAAATGTTCCAGGTACCATCTCACACCTGGGATCTTCAGTTCAGCCAATCGCACCTCACTGTGTACTGTATCTAGTCAACCGCCGGTCCAATCAGAATGAGCCCTCCCTGCTAGGCGCTGTGCAATTGGTGGGGGGTTGGGTTGGCAAAAAAGGTGGGCGCACGGCGTGGTAGTCAGCACGGCACTGCCAGAGTCCTCCCAGGGGCGCAGGGGGGCGGGAGGGAAACGTGTGGGGGGACGCTGCCCAGTTTCCATGATGTCAAGACAGTTCACTGGCGGTGGCCAGGCTAGGCTCAGCGAGGGGTAGAGGGGGGAAAGGGGTAGAGACATCAGTCCTGGCCCAGTAGGGGCATCATCTTGCAGTCCCTGATGAGATGGCCTGTGAGTAGCAGGAATGGTCCTTGCCTTTTATCATGAGAGCAAGCAGGACCCTATGTCCACCAGTGGCAAGCGGCAGCAATACCACCACCCAATACTTGGAATCCAGGTGATGACTCCAGAGTCCCTTTCTCCTCTGCCTGTAACTGGGGAAGGGGTCCTCTCATCGAGTGGGATCATGGAGCCTCTGATGAAGGTAGCCTGGGGTAGTAGGTGAATATCCCCAGGACCTGGTGCACATTCAGCAGCAAGGTCAGAATACTTTTCTTCTGAGTTGTGGGCAGCATCTCCTCAGGGACTCCAGCTGAGACAGTGGTTCCAGTCAGGTAGATGAATGAGCCCCTGCCTCCAGGGATGGAGGAGAAGTTGGAGCAATCAACATGCTGCCCTTCACCATGGACAACAGGGACCAAAGGAAAGTCCATCTGATGAGCAAGTGGTGATACATGGGCTGGGCTGTCATCAGCATTAAATCCCTGGGGCACAAACCCTAGACTTCTCTGCAGGGTTCCTAGTCGTCACAGCTTAAGCCGAGGGCCCCACTCAGTGTTTTACAGCATGGCACTGTGACCACAAACATTGACTCTTTAGGTTGTCTTGGTGCCCTAGATGGGGATCCCAACAGTCTGTAGCAAACAAGGCAACCCACAATCCTTGATAGGGCAAGGGCATGTGGGCAGGCGCCCCAGCACTGGCACAAGCTCTTCTTGGGGTGTCCCAAGCAGGGAGATGATGCAAGTCCACCCCTTTCCAAATGCTTTTTCTCAATACAAGTCTCTCCAGAAACAGTGCTCTTCTTGGCCCCCTGATGTAAGCAAGACAGGGAGGCAAAAGGGGGCCCATCACAGGAGCCCACATACATGCCCCCCTCTGGCCAAGACACCTGGATAGCAGACTTGGCTCTGATTGGGCAGCTCAGTAGCAGCGGGTGGGTCCAGAGGAAGAGGCGGCATCAGCGATTGGCCAGTTGGGCAGGGTTATATTTTACGGGCGGATTACCGTACATGAGGTACTTGGACAAAGTTTTACGGGGAAGAAGGACCTTGTAATAAATAATATTCTGCACATCAAATCACTTTCACCGGCCCCCGCCCCCGCAACACACACCAGAGAAAGGCTACACACACAACAGTCCCTCCCACCCGTTATCCCACTCCCAAACCCAGCTAATTATATTATTGTAAGAGCCAAGAAGATTTCGCTGGCTCTGATGGGGGGAGCCCCCTGAATTGGGTGCAGGACACCAGAGAATATATATGCCAAAAAGGGAGGCCAGGGGGTTATAGATATAGAGAAAGGGCCTTCTGGATCAGTCCAAGTGCTAGCTTCTAAGGAGCTACATATCTGTAATGAGACCACTGGGGGGCAGATGAGGAACAAAAATTCCTCAGCATGGCTCATCTGGTGAGAACCACCAAAGCCCACTAGATGGCGTTGACCTCCATCAGGCTTTTAAAAAGGAGGGAAAGCTCAAGGAGTTATCTAGAGGAGCTTGGGAAAATAGCAGGAAAAGCTGAGCCTGGGTCTTAGAAACTAAGATTCATTAACAGACTTCCAATTAGCTACAAATTTCCAGGAGTCTGGACTATACTACTTCCCCCACAGGGAAAGGATGAATAAACCCTGTCCCCATCACAAGGGTCTCCCTTGCTAAACCAGCGAATTCTCCCTTGGCCCTGTCTTGATCCAAGGACCTGCCTCATCCCCTCTTTAAATTATCCCATTTTGTAAGAGGGTTCACCAGAATGGTCTACTCTTTCCCCTAGGATCACTTCAGCCCACCCACCCCAACAGGTGGCTTGGATATTTACCTCTTTCTTCTCCTCATCTTCAGCGCTGACTTCTGGGYGGTCATCGTTACTGATTTGGTCTGCAATAGGCATTGGAGGCTCTGGAACCTCATTTTCAGGTCTGTTTTCACTTGTGTCCATTGTCACTTCCTCCTTCTCCTCACTGACAGGATGGGGGGAGGTTTGGAGGGGAGAGCAGGAAAGAACCAAGGGGAAGAGAGAGCAAGATGTCAGATTTTGGATAATGAAACCCCCATGCCTCATCACTTGGGTAGAACTGGGATGGCCACTTTTCAGATCAGACTAGAAACCTTGCCACCATAGGAAAAGTGGGAAACTTGGGGGGAAAAGCATGGATTATAGCTACAGCACCACCCACTGCCTACATGGATTATTGCTGTGGAGCTAGGACGCCACCTATTCTTAGATAATAACTCACCCAGAGTACTCTTACATGAAAGAAAGACTCTCCTGGCTGAAAATGGTCCCTCTAAAGTGACTGTGATTTGCCCACAACCCCGTGGCCTCCATATCCCCCTGACTACAGGCACCTTTACCTTGTATGAGAGAGTATGGGGACCTGATTCCTTAAAAACACAAGAAAGAATGGCCGTGGCTGTGGCAAATGATCCTATCCTTGTGTTTAATCAACTGCTTAATAAGTAAAGGCCTGCTGACCCACTGGATCTGGAGGCACCAGAACAGTGAAAATGGTGGGGGTGGGGATTGCAGGGGGAATGTAGGGCTAGTTAAGGTTTGAGCTTCAACAAGGATCTTTTCTCATTTAAAAGGAAAAACTAAAACTGCTGAAGAGTACAAAAGCTCAAAGAATCAGGCCACTTTTACCTGCTCAAGAGGTGTAGGAACCTTTCTTATATTCATTTGACTTTTACCCAGTTTGTCCCCATTCCCTCATTCCAACTTCCTAGAGATAAAGAGAGCAGGCCTCCCAGTAAGGACACACCTCCCCCACAGTATGTAGCTCCCCCTACCAAACACTGAACCCACTCCCCCACTTTTAATCACACAAGTTGGCACCCACTTTAGGCAAAGAATCCCAGAGCTTCAGTTCAGATAAACTATCTTTCCATCTTTGTTTTTTGTTTTCATTTCTAACTTCTATCTTTTACTCCTTCTAGTACCCAAATATCAGGCCAAAAAAAAAAAAAAAAAATCCAATTTATATGATCAGGAGCCCAAGCGTCCCCAGGCCGATAACCACCACCAGAAAATTCAGCATTCCCAACAGACTGCTTGCCACTCAGGTCAGTATAGCTTCCCAAGGGGAGTCAGAGAGGGATGCACAGGTTAGGGGGAGGGGAAGTTGGGCCTGTGCCCCCAGCTAAGAGGCCCCCACAGAAACACGCGATTCAACTACTTGAATCTAGAAAAAGCTTATATATATATATTTAAAAAAAAAAAAAAAGGCCTATTTCCCACACAGTGAGGGCAAGTGGGGCCAATCACAATTAGGGCAGGAAGGACAAAGGGGGAAAGCAGAATGACTGAAAATAAACCAAAATGAAAGATGGAACGAAATCCATGAGGAAGAGAAGAAAGATGAGGTGAGCTAGAGAGGTGGGGAAAAGGGATACATGGAAATGTGAAGCTCTCACCCTTCTTTGCTTTCTGATAACATGATTTTTTTTCTCCCCCTGGAAGTGCTGTTTATCCCTTTCTGGAATGGAAGAAATAACAAAAACCAAACAAAAAATCCTAAAAAAAAAAAACCAAAAAACCACCTTCCTTGTTCCAAGATCCCACCACCTCCTCCCCAGCCACCCGATCCAGAGAGAGAAAATCAAGATGCAGCAACTGGGGATCCAAAAAATGGTAAATGGAAGGGGAGGTGGTGGTGGTGGTGGTGGTGGTGGTGTGGGGAGGCTAAAATAGATCTGGCTTTTAAGAGATAAGCGTTAAGTCCTCACGGCAAACCCCGAGTTCGGCTGGATTGGTCTCTCTGGAGGAGGAGGAGGAAGAGGGCCAGGCTGCTGGTAGTGGCTGGCTCTATTGTATTGGCGGAGCGGCAGCGATCAGCCGGAGACATGCAGGGGAGCCATCTTGCCACTTACCCAGCAGCCCGTGTGTGCGGATGGGGGAGGGCCCTGCTGCAGCAGGGGAGGGGAAAGAAAAGAGGGAGGGAGCTGAGTGAGCAAGGTTCTTATCCTCTGGCAGGCCACAGGGAGACGACTGCTGGCTCAAGAGGCCTGGCCTTTTTCCTTCTTTTCTCAGATTACAACAGCTACTGAGGCCTAGACCCAAAGGGCCTGGGGGATAGGGGGAGGTGTGCTTTCCTAGTCTTCCCAGGGRCAAGGGAGGGGGCTGGGTAGAGAGGACATAAAGTTACAGCTCCTTGATTGGAAGACTCCAGAGAATAGAAGAAAGGGAAACCAGCAGAGTTGGGAGTGAAAAAAACGATTAAAGAAGATAGATAACGGCATAGTTAAAAAATGATTAAAGACAACCAAAGCCTCCATTCCTTCTACAAATGAGGGACATGAGCAATATTTTTATGGGCCCACTACCCTCAACCCAGGAAGCAAGCATGGAAGACTAGTCATATGCTTAAGGTGGGGAGGTGGGAATAGAATTGTCACTATCCAATACTATAGTCACTATCCAATCACTGGCAGCTCACCCAGGCAATGACCACGTGTTACTATTCCATCCAGTCTGTTTCCCAGGATAAGGAGGGAGAGAGAGTTCCTTTTCAAAATACCAGTAGAAGGGAGGGTGGGTGTCTCTGAAGAGATGACAGACAACTTTGTTTCACAGAGTCTTTAATAAGGTCCCTCTGCCCCAGGATTCCCTGGAGCCAGTTAGGAAAAGGATAACCGGGGCAATTGGACCTTGCATACCTGAAGCTTAAAGGCTACTTTTTGGAGTAGACTAGACACTGGAAGTGAGAAAGCTGCTACTTGGGACAGGGGAAGGGAATATCAGCTGCGTATAAAGTGATCAGAAACAAAACAAAAAATATTAATTGTGGGCATTTTCACCAGAGCACATGTTAAAGTGTAAAACAGACCATAAAGACTGAAAAAGCACTCAGCAGATACTCAAAATGCTTATTTGTTGATTGCAAAGGTGCTTTTTTTTGTATTTTAAGGGCAGCAGAGGTTTAATACCAGGACAAGATTCTGTGAACTTAATCAAAAAGCTCAGGTTTTGTCTGTTTTTGCGGTGCTGTAGAATGAACCCAAGGTCTTGTGTATGCTAGGCAAGTCCCCTACCACTGGGCATTTTAAACACCAGAGGTTTCAGCCAGGGGTGAAATTTCTTACTGCTGCTTAAAGTCCTAAACTACATGTTTTAAGTTAAGGATTTTTTTTTATTTTTTGGTGCCAGGGATAGAATCCACAGCCTTGTTCATGCTACATCCCCAGCACACCTCCCCCTATCCCCCAGGCCCTTTTGGTCTAGGCCTCAGTCATGTTTATAACTTTAGAAGTTCCCTTTCAGACATTCAGTGCTGCATGCATGTTATCCCAGTTTACTCCTGAGGCTGAGGGTGGAGAATACCAAGTTCAAGGTCAGGCTTAGTGGCAGAGTACCCCAGGATTTAAACCCTAGTAGTGGGAAAAACAAATAAGCAAAAAGTATTCCCATTCACATATGGTCCTTGTCTGCTCAAAATATAAGAGAGAACTCTGGATTAGACTGGCTAGGACCTGGCACCATCTTCTTTCAAACTGTGATAGTAGACAGTTTCTGATCCTGTGTATGTTTCTTAATCTGTACAGTGTGGTTAACAATACCTGTTTCATGGAACAGTGTAATAAATGTTAGCTCCAGTCTGGCCTGGACAACACCCCAAAGTGCAGAGGTGCACTACAACACATGTTCGCTATTATCTCATTTGATGCCCCTTCTGAAGTTCTTTTTGACTCAGATTAGTCTCCTCTTTCTCTGAAGGCAAATTATTCAGTGATTAGCATGAAAGATTTTCAGCAATGCCCTTATTACTCTCTACAAGGAAGACTAGTTTGCTTGCCCCTTACCTCCACCATTCAGACTCTCAAGGGGAGGGACTCCATCCCTTGGCTCCTAGCCCACAAAGAAATGCTCTTTAAATATTTCTGAATTAGTGTGCCACAGTAGGCACCAAGTAGATACTTATCAAATGCTTGCTGACCTAAAAATTTCTTAAAAAAAAAAAAAAAGACTATTACCCATCAGAAAATGTTACCTTCAACATCCTAAACATTCCTTGTCATTCTAAAATACATTCAGCTGCTAAACTGCCTGTCCAGAAGTAGCTTACTTGGAGGAAGAACTTTTTGTTATTGAGAATTTTACCTCATTTTTTTTTTAGAATATGAATTTTACAATTTTCTCCTTGGCCTTCTTACGACACAGGAGATCTATTTCTTCTATTTCCCTTTGGTGGATTTTGCGGGATCCGAGAATTTCTGAGACCTTGTTTTCAGATGATAATAAAGAATCCTTGAAACTGTCCCATCCTTTTTAAACAAAAGGCACCTCCCTTTCTTTCCTCCACTATTTAAGTTCTTGCACAAATATTCCCAAAATCTTTTTTAAAATCTGTGAAATAGTATGGGGAAAGGGGGTGAGAGGTGGGGATAAGCTATCTATAATTAAACAGACAGCATTAGAGCCCAGAAGAAAAGGATGGAACCACTTGGAAGTTAAAAACATTTTGTAGTTCTATGTAAATGAGATTCAAAAGAATTAATGGAAAAAATAAATTCCTATAGGCATATGTGTTTGAATTTTAGCTATTACAGAAAATTCAGAAAATAACTGAGGGACTTGATACCCTCAGGAACTTACTAGTTCCAAGTTAACTAAGGACAGTATGATTTTGGAGGGTATGTCCTTAGATACAAAGTTCTCAATGAGCAAACTCATAATACTTATGACAAATTATGTTGTTTTTTTTTAAATTTATGCATCACTTGGGATACAGGCATTGTAGATCTCCTGGAAAATATCAATTACATTGTAATATTGGTTTACAGAAACACTCCCTTAGTATCAACAGCCTTAAGTTGCTAATGCCTGCTAAGTTTGTGTCAGAAGGTTGTGTTTAATTAATTCAGGTTTGAATTAACTACTACTAAATGATATAGCTGCCTATACACTTTTATTATCCTTTTTCCTTTTGCCCCTTATTGTTGGTTTGTTTGTTTTGTGGTATTAGGGATTGAACCCAAGGCCTCATGCATACTAGGTCAAATGTTCTACCACTGAGCTACATTTCCAACCTTTTCTTTAAGACAGGGTCTTGGGCTAGGGTTGTGGCTCAGAGGTAGAGCACTCACTTAGCATGTGTGAGGCACTGGGTTTGATCCTCAGCACCATATAAAGTAAAATAAAGACGTTATGTCCACCTATAACTAAAAAATAAATATTAAAAAAAAAGGACAGGGTCTCACTAAGTTGCCCAGGGTAGCCTTGAATTTGAGATCCTCYTGCCTCAGCCTTCCTGGACACTAGGATCCCCTACTGCTTTATAATGTTAAAAAAAGAGTACTATAATTTCTGTTGTATGAGGAAACTTCTGTTAAAGCCATAGGAGGGAGAAGACTAGATTTTGGAACAGGGATTGATTGAAATAGGATTGAGGGCTTACAAATCCCTGCTCCAAGTAATGAAAAAGACACCTGACCTCATAAATCTAGAATTCCTCAGGCACTCATAATGTGAACAGGTTTAACCAAATACAGCAAATAAGTTAGCCAATCTCTTCCAAATAGTAAGAAGTCCTGAAGATAAAGTCTAATTTATTTTTTAACACTTTACTGCTGTTTTTTTAAAATCATTGTCACTTCTTGTTGAGAGAAGACAACAAAGGTTAAGCCACAAATAGTTTCTTCCATTTGGTACTACTGATCCTACTTTTAAAGTTGGCTAGGGCTCTAGAGGGCTCCCATACTAAACACTAGCACTGTGGAAGGTGAAAAAGACTAGGAGAAATGTTGTGAGTCAGGAAGAATGAAGGCAAACTTCTCAAGCATTCATTCACCAAATTTAATATTAAAAATAGCCTATGAGTTTAGGCCTGTGGGCATGTTTTTTTTTTTTTTGTTTTGTTAGGCTGTTGAACAGACTACCTGGCAGGCAGCAGAAGGAAAGAAGGTAAGAGGGATGTGTCTCAGCTATTCCAAATGTAGACTGCATCTCTAGTCTACAGGATGCTCAAATGAAGCTTGCCTAGGCAACAATGGACAATCTCAATATTTGCTGATGGTGTCATTTCCCTAATACTTTGTCAAAATCAATGTGACTAGATTATATCATAGAATGAAGGTCAAAGCCACCTTTACCCGGGAAGGAAAACTTATATGACTCCAAGCTTCATTTGCCTTGGACTTGAATTGGAAAGTTGAGAAATAAAGAATCTTCCAAACAACATAAAATGCTTTTCTGTTGCTAGGATCTTACAAACCCAGAACTTTAAGGCTAGCAAGGAGCTTTTAAGAAAATTACTGTTTCTTGAGGTGCATAGGAAGAAGTTCCTCAGGGCAAATTAGTAGTAGGTTGTCAATACCCACTTTGAAACTGTCAACATTTTGAAAAAAGGGCATGCTGTAGCTTCATGGAATAGGGGAGGGAGAGGGAAAGCAGATGTTATGTCTGTATGAGTTATATGGAAGAAAAGACGTCACCCCATTTTCTTATTGATGATATAACTGAGGAACTCTAAACATCTTCCAGTATCCGCTGAGTTTTCTTTTATGGTCCTAGAAGAAAAACCCTTTTCCAAAGGATAATATACCCATCTCAAAAAGGAAAATCAAACCAAAAAATGTAATGGCCACAAGATGGCAGAAGAAGCAACAATATGAGAATGGACAGTAGCAAGGCAGAATCTATGTTAAGGCATATGAAACGATCATTAATATCACAAGGATATGAAATAATAAATCATGTCCCCTGCCCACTAACCTCCAAAATTCAGAGTCAAAAGACAATCTGAAGGTCTCCTAAGTGTATAAATTATCAGATTATTATACACAGGAAAAATAATACTGATAATAACAGTACTAAAATGACATAAAAACAATTATGGAACAACTTGAGACTAATAGTCTGCATAAGACATTCTCTAAAGCAGTTCAAAATTCCTGATGTCTAAAAGTTAAGCGATTCTATTTCTATAATGCTTTTTCTCCCCCCCATTTCCCATGAACCGTTGAAACCATGAATTTTGACTCAATGACTTTTCTTTTTTTGGTACTGGGAGGGAAGAACCCAGAAGTGCTTTACCACTGAGACCCATCCCTGGCCCCTTTTTCAGTTTGAGACTTTAGTGTCTTTCTTTAAATTAGTGTCTCAACCTGAAAAAAGGGCAGGGATGGGGCTCACCAGGTATCACTAAGTATCTCACTAAATTGCTTAGGGCTTCGCTTAGTTGCTGAGGCTGGCCTGGAACTTGTGATCCTCCTGCCTCAGTTTCCCAAGTCACTGTAATTCCAGGCATGAACTTCCACACCTGGTTTCAATGACTTCTTTTTTTAAAATTTTTTATTTGTTGCTTCAATAACTTCTTAACTTATAATTTCAAGTTCAGAATAATGAATAATGTATTTATTCAATTACAAATTTAACCTGATATAATTATAAGATCAATCGAAGAATCTTAGGGGCTCAGGAATCAATATCTAACTTCATAGGAACTTCATATACTGCTGCACTGTGTGCTGAAAGACTGTGCTTCTTTACAAACCCTCAATATCCTTTAACTGCGTGGCCACAGGTGTAGTTAATAAATATGAATTAAAGTCAGCATTAAGATTCCCTGAGTTGAATCCTTTATACATCTTGAGTGAGGAGATAGAAGCTTCAGTTGTTTGCTCCTTAAAGGAGCTACCCTCCCACCCTGCCTTCATGTTTTAAAAGGAAACTAGGGCTTCTCAAAGAATCCTAGGCAGCAAAGATTGGTCCCACATCCCTAGTTCCTTTTTATACCCCAGTCAAGATTTATCACTTACACAGTGGGATGAATCCTTTCTGATTCTGGTAGATAAGAGGTCTGAGTTTCTGGGGTTTGAGGCTGTGTGGCAGCTGGTGGCTCTGCCTCTTCAGCTTCACACTTCTTTGGGCTCACCTGTCAGGAGATAGCAAAAACAAAGATAACAAAGGATTTAATTCAGTTGGTTCCTTTTCTTTGATCTGGAGCTGGAAAAAGTCAGGGCAGGATGAAAAAGAGCCACGTCTCCAGGATGGACTCTGAACACAACTCTTCTATGTCACAGAATATACCTAATTTTGCTTAAATGAAACTCTGTTGAGCATAATTATTAAGTGCTTTTAGATTCTACCATTCCTGTATTGCTACCAGTCTAAAGAATAATTGGGCCTACCTTCCTTCAGAAGGACTTCCAGCATCAGAGTACTGGAACTGCACTGAGTGTGACACCCTAATTTGCCTCAGTAAAATGAGGGCCTATGTAATTACTTGTCAGAGGACATTGATAAGTATGGACCACTGCAAGAACTTGGGGAGACAGCAACAAGGTGTGTTAAGTCCATTTTGTCAAAGGGAACAGTCCCTTTGACAAAATGGACTTAACACACCTTGTTGCTGTCTCCTTTCTGATTCTGGTAGATAAGAGGTCTGAGTTTCTAGGGTTTGCGGCTGTGTGGCAGCTGGTGGCTCTGCCTCTTCAATTTCACACTTCTTTTTATGATGACTTCATTTTTTTAAAGTTGTTGATGGACTTTTATTCATTTATTTATATGTGATGCTAAGAATCAAACCCAGTGCCTCACACATGCTAAGCAAGCACTCTACCACTGAGCCACAACCCCAGCCCCCGACTTCATAGATTTTGACATAACTGAGTAAGCTCTTATCTAAAGTCTTGGAGTGGTCACTCTGTGAATGTGTGAATCACTAGAATACCACATAATTTTATAAAGAAGAACGGGAAGGGGACCATTCAATTACACCATTTAAGAAGCTAATTAAACAACTGGAGGGAAGTTGTCAATATCTGATGGAGAAAAATGTACAATCCAGTTTCATGTTTATCCATGCTTATTATTATATTTCACTCAAAAACTTGTTTTTCATTTTGATGGTTTAAATCTGTTCTGCATTCTTGAGTTTCTCAGACATTGAATAAGTAATTATCTCGATCAGACATTAATATATAGAAAAAACACAGGCTGAGTATGTTAAGTGGATGACACCATTTGTAATGTTACATATTAATAACTACCATTATAGTTAGACAAGACAACTAATCTTTGTTCTATGTAAAAAGATGAAGGGTGGGGCTGGGGATGTGGCTCAAGCGGTAGCGCGCTCGCCTGGCATGTGTGCGGCCCGGGTTCAATCCTCAGCACCACATACAAACAAAGATGTTGTGTCCGCCAAAAACTGAAAAATAAATATTGAAATTCTCTTAAAAAAAAAAAAAAAGATGAAAGGTAGGGATTGGAGCTGTAGCTCAGTGGTAAAGTGCTTGCCTCTCGTGTGAGGCACTGGGTTCGATCCTCAGCACCACATTAAAAATAAAGATACTGTGTGTTCATCTACAACTAAATAAATATTTTTTAAAAAGATGAAGGGTAGAATAAAGTGTGGACATTTAAGAAATATGAAATCTGTTCCAAAGCTATTTTTCTTTTTTGGTACTACAGTGTTTGGTACTAGGGTTTTTGGTATTAAGAGGTGTTTAACCACTGAACCACATCCCCAGTCCTTTCATTTTTTTTTATTTTGAGACAGGATCTCACTAAGTTGCTGAGGTTTGCTTTGAACTTGCAATCTCCCTGTCTCAGCCTCCAGAGTAGCTGGGATTATAGGCATGGATCACCACACCCAGCCCAGTACTCTTTTTCTAATCTCTAACAGAATAACATGATGCATCTTGTATGGGAGTAGGAAATAAAATTTGTGAAGTAAACAAAGCCTATTTAACAGAATTATATTGCATAATATTATAACAATAAATTTTGTGTAGAAATGTAAAAAACAAAAGACAGGAAAGTCAGGCGAGTATATATACAGTCCAGCTCTACCACAAAGTCCTCTATATCTGCATTATTTCATCTTCTTCTTAGAATGTTGACTATAATGTAGCTTAAAGAGAGATCCCTTTTTTTTTTTGGTGGTGCTGGGGATTGAACCCAGGACTGTGTACATGCTAGGCAAGTACTCTACCACCTGAACTTTATCTCCAGCTCTCAAGATAAATACTTTTTAAGACCTTATTTCTAAGTCAGCAATCATTTCGTTAGGGTTTTTTTTTTTTTTTTTTGGTGGGGGTAGTGAGCGGTAGTGTTGGGGATTGAACTGAGTTTTATCCATGCTAAGCACATACTCTACCACTGAGTTGACTGGGGATATATCCCAACCCTTAGATTTCTTTTTTGGAGAACCGATAAAAGTCTTCCTTTGGGACAGATAAAGGAGAAGTTCTGAGGAAGAATTGATGCTGAGAGCCCTGGAGATGAGAACACTGCTTCTCAGCCTCATGGAGAACTTTTATAAACCAGGGAATAGAAATGAGTTAAGTAGGATTAACAGGTGTCCCCTACCCCTACCCTCTACATTTCTCCTGCGGTTTGTCCAGACTGACTTCTCAATTTTACAGTTAAGACAAAAAGGAAAACTATGCCTAATTCTCCATCTCCCTCTAGGGAAGGGTCACGATAGCCTACCCGCTCAGGCTGTAACTTCTGGGTCATGAGCTTTTCGGCTGGATCAGGCTGGCTCAGACGCCTCACTTGGATGGATGAGGAGGTGGAAGTTCTCTCCTTTGGCTCAAGAACCTGCAGCTGTGGCATTGGTGGAACTGCAATCTCCTGACCAGAAGAGGGATCTTTGGTTTCAGTGTAGCTGGTGTTGCTGTCCCTGGAGGCTCCAGGGCTCAGAGACTGAAGAAATTAAATGAAACGCATAGAAAAGAAAATTACTTTATATGGTATAATCAGTAAATCATTGAGTTTTCCAACTTGTGTTAACCCAATTCATACCTGAGATTTTTTTTTAAGGGGGGTACATATTCATACAGAATAATCGGTTTCACTGTGGCATATTCATGTGAACATATATGTAAGCATAATCTGAACAATTTCACTTCTTACCCTCTATTCCTCCCTCCTGCTTCCCTTTCACTACCCTAATGGTCTCCGTTCTACTTTCATCACATTCTTTTCTCCCCCACTATTTTTTCTTCTATAGTTTCCACAGATGAGAAAAAACACTTGACACTTTCCTCTCTCATTTATTTTACTCAAAATTATGGTCTCTAGTTCCAACCATTTTCTAAAAATGACATAATTTCCTTCTTCTCATGGCTGAATAAAAGTCTTTGTGGGGGCTGGGGTTCAATCAAATCTTAGCACCACATAAAAACATTAAATTATTTTAAGTATGGACCACTACAAGAACTTGGGGAGAAAAAAAAGTCTTTGTACTTATTATTACTGCTTGAATTACTGATCTCCCTTACTACTTATCAACAAATTTACTAGGTTCCAACTAGATGCTGAGTACTGGGATACCCACATTAAGGCATATCCATACCCTCAAGAAATTTATGTCCAGTACAGCATGAGAGTAACTTTCTTTGGAATCAAATGGACTCATAATGGAAAACAACTCCAGTCAGGGGCCAATTAATTGAAAATTAGACTCTGGGATGAGGGTAAATGATCAGTGAACTGGGGACTAAGTGAAGCTTTTCCTATTCCTGTTAGAAATTATGACAGGTTCTTCTGGGCATGAAAAACACTGGCTTACAGACAGAATTTCAACACACACAGGAATCTCTCATACTCACTTTTCTGCTGCTGCTTGATGCTGAATGGGAACGGGAACGAGATCGGGAACGTGACCTAGATTCTGATGTTGACCTGGAGCCTGTCTTGGGTCTACCATGAGGGTTGGCGTGAATTCGTGCCTGGGATTTATCTCTCTGCTTGGATCTTGGAGGTGAGAGAGACTGAGAGCCAGAGCTATCAGGAGAACGAGACCTAGATCTAGAACTGGAGGAAGAAGAGGAGGATCGGCTAGAGGATGAGTCAGCTGACTGTTTCAATCTGTGGCTTGGGAAAAGATTATGTGAAGCCCTTCTGCCTTCCTTCTGTTCCAAAGATGGTTGTTTCAGAGATTCCTCAGTAATGCCTTTGGGTGATGTTAATTCCTCCATTTTTAAAGGGACTGGCTGAGCAGATTTTTCTGGCTCAGTTTCAAGACCTTTCTGGGTTGAGTATTCAGCCAATGTGCTTTTCTGAAGTAGAGGCAGAACATTCTCTTCTGGCACTTTCTCTGCTGGAGATTCTGCTTTGGTGTCTGCAGGACTTGACAAAGACGACAGGCCACCTACCAACTGCACAGTATGCTGAGATATTAAAAGCTGTCTGGTCTCAGCATCTGTATTAGGAGATAACTGGACGAGGACAGGGGGTGCTGGGCCTTCCATGGGTTCTATTTCTTCCTCACTCTGGAGTTGTGTATGAGGTGGTGGAGAAGATGCTTCCTTGGTAAGTAAAGGTGGGGGAGTCTCCTCCTCACTGGCAGTTTGCTCCAGTGGTAGCACAAGAGGGGCCTTCTCTAGATCTTCGGTCAGTAGAGGAGGGGAAGGGGACTGTGATTTTTCTTCCAAGCCTTGTGAAAATTTTATTTCTTCTCCTTTCTCCTCAAGGGGGGAAACTGATTGCATCTCTTTCTCTTGTTGCTGTTTGGTGAGATGACGAGTTCTAGCTTCTTCCTGGGATCTTGTAACTCGTCCTCCTCTCTCTAGCCCCTCCTGTTCCTGAGCTCTTATGGTTTTGGGTCTCTCATCAATCACCTCCTCTGGTTTTGCTCTGGGCATCACATCTCCCTCTTCTTCCTGAAACTGTTTCAGGATTGGTGCCTCCCTAGATTTTTGTCCTTCCTCTTCTTCCTCTTCCTCTTCCTCATCTTCCTCCTCTTCCTCCTCTTCTTCTTCCTCTTCTGTTTTCAAATTTCGATCTGCTCTGACCCTCAGATTTCTAGAAGGTACTTCTTGATTCTCTTCCCCCTCAGCAGCTTGACTACACTCAGAGGATTTAGCTGCTCTTGCCTGAAAGAAAAGATATAAAACAGTTCCAAATATATTTGCTCACAATCAATGGAGAAAAAGCATCCCATTTGATACTCCCAAGAATAAGAAATTCAATGATATACAATTTTGTTAAAACAGAAACAGGTATGACAGTAGATAACTATGACTAATGTGGGTTCCTTATGGGAATCAAAATAACAGTAACCAAAAGGAATAATGAAGCTGCTTGTAGTTCATTTTTTAGCTTCAAGTTTTTAAACATCTAGAAACAGGGAGGAAAACAAAAATACTGTCACATAATTTGATTATTTTTATCATTTTTAAAAATATTTTTTAGTTGTCAGTGAACCTTTATTTTTTTATATGCGGTGCTGAGAATTGAACCCAGTGCCTCACACTGCTAGGCAAGCACTCTACCATTGATCTACCACCCCAGCTCCTATTTTTTATCATTTTAGTATATTTCTTTTCATTCTTTTTTCCAGACCTTTCTTTGCATGGTCTTAATTATGATACACATATGCCTTTGTACTCTGCTCACTTAACATTATTCTAACAGTTTTAAAGTTTTAACCAAAAAAATTAATTATGATGTATCTTTTCTAATAATGTGCTTTAAAAATACGACCAGGGCTGGGATTGTGGCTCAGTAGTATAACATTCGCTTAGCACATGTGAGGCCCTGGGTTCGATCCTCAGCATCACTTAAAAATAAATAAATAAAATAAAAAGCTATTGTATCCAACTACAACTAAAAAAT